CTGTTTTTACTACATTATCGCATTATAGTGCTTTAAATCTATGTTCATATTTGCTTTTTATGATTCTGATTATTGTATTGTTATCTTGCAGTTCGACTATGTGATTTGTTTTATCAGTCTTTTCTTTTATCCATACTGTTATCGTACAGTAGTGTATTCCATTTGCCATATGCAATGATACTACATTATGAAGTGTTGCACACTATACTGTATTATGCTACCAAAATAAAGAGTACTAGCTACTCTGGATACCTACTACCCATAGGCCCCAAAGTAGTTCCTTTTTGGGGGTTCATATATAGAATTCTATAAGGCAATCCCAAAAAGGAACTACTTTGGGGCCTCTTGGTATGGTAACTAAAATCAAGTTCCTCAACAAAAACCCAGTGTTTCGATCTTTAGGGCCATGTTCCCGCCGTTCCCGAGGCCCAATCGTGCATTTTTCCCCTCGCAGAAGTGGGTTTTGGGGTTTTTGGGGTTTAGGGGTGCGAAGCCATCTTCGGGTTTGGTCGTGTGTCTACCTGACGTGCAGTGGGTTTGAGCCCCGATGGCCTCAAGAAGGTTTAGGGTTTACCTGAACCCTACAAAACATCCTGTTTGTAGCTCCTTGTTGTGATTTCATCGGATAGCCCTTAGAAAGGTAAGGTTTTTTTCGGGGGTTGAGATATGGCTACGTAGGGTTTAGGTTCATAGAAAGACTCCCTTTCCGACCATAACTAACCTGCTTTGTTGTAGGGACCCGTTTTGATCCTACATCGGGGTGCCTGATTCGGGCCCTGCAAAGCACCTGTGTCCTAGTAGGCTTCAGGATTCGCTCAAGCTGCGTGGACTCATTGCTGCAGGAGGTCTGCAGCAGGCAACACAAAAGTGTTGCTCAGAAGATTATCTCAGTCAGGTTGCCTCTGCAGCATTGCAATGTAGGGGCTCGAATAATGAGAACAGGGTCTTGGGGATATCAGAGTATAGTGGTGTAACGTAGGGACTTTATTAAAAGGGAAATAGCATTACTGACTAGAACGAGCCTAGTGTTTGCTGGCTTCGAGTTTGGAATCGCTTCCGCAAGGCCAAGACCCGTGACATTACCCTCCAGACCCTCGCTCCAAAACTGCGGTTGCGGTTTAGGGTATGGGAGTTTCCGAAAATTAGGGTACCTTATTTTGGTGGCCCTTTATAATAAGGGTCCTAGTAATTAGGGTACTATTTTAGGGTCCCCTATTTTGGGAAACTCCCATATAGGGGTAGCTCCAAAACCGTCAACGCTTCTAAAGCTGCTTGTTGCCCCTGCAATACTGCAGGACCCAGTGAACGATAGCTCGGACGTGCCCAACATGTAAGGGCCGGCAATCTCTGTTAGCTCGTACGGAGCTGGAGACAGCCAGAAGCGACTGCACAGCAAGAGGGTCGGGTCTCCAAGAGGCCTCAACATGTTCGTGTCCGAGTGCTGCTAGCTGCCATTGATATGTTCATCATCGTCGTTGGGCTGTTGGTAGAAGAAGATACTGTAGCATGCGTTTGATGGTTCTGTACCCCTGATCAACATACCCCTTTTCACAACACTAAAGCTCTCACATGCTATTGCTGTCTATTTCTTAGCAGTTGGCATCCACCCAGCACTTCGTACCCCACTTCATCAGAACCCTGAACCCTACAACCCTACAGAGCACCCCAAAGCCCACATAAACCGTCGGCCCTAAAAGCTATGTTGAGGGCTTGGGGATATAATGCAACCCTAAACCCTAAACCCTAAACCGTTCTTGTGTAGGCCTCCTAAGTTTCAGAATTCCGAAGCGAAAAAGCCGTCAAACTCGAGCTTCAAGATTCTTTGGGGCTGCTCTCGAAGGACTTGAAAGTCTATAACATCGGGGCCTCAATACTTAGAAGAGGGTTTTGGGGCCCATTATACTATACCTATAAGGAGCCCCCCCAAAAAAATAGCACAGGTAACTATGTAGGCCCCTTATTACAGCGTGACATTGTCATGACATGCATTGTTGTATTGTCAGAGCTTTCGGGTAAACCCTCACCTTACGTTGTGGGTGGTTGTCAAAGTCATGGTCTTTTTTTGGGTCCTGAATATAATACGGTACCTAGTATTTAGGGTACCTGAACTGGGACCATAGTTTTGACAACCACCCATGGGCCATCCTCGCTCTGGCTTAAATTCGTGAACAGACCTCTAGCACCCTCAGGTGCTGCACTATCGTGCCTCCGTGTCTCACCTCGAGACCACTCGTTTCAGATGGAGCTCCCACATGTCGTCTCGGTCCAGACCCCCTTGTGTTTCGGGTCGGTCCACGTTAGAGGTGATTTGAGGATTTCGTAGTTGGCACGCCTTCAAAGGGTCACAGAAGGAGAAGGAAAAATTGTAAGAGTAGCTTCGCATCATGTCATTGGCCAAACAACAGCAAACCAAATTCAACTACATCCCACAGGGCCATAGAGGAATTTGCAAAAGTTTGGCTCTAAAGTTTAGGCCCTAAACACTAAACCCAAACCTAAATCCTACAAACTCTACACCCTAAGCCGTAGGCCGGCGAGGGCTTCGGGTTCGAGATTGCGGTAGCTCTCCCAGATCGGGTTCAACTAGGTTCCTGAGTCGTACCCTTTTGCCCTTTGTCTTTTTAGGTTCCCAGTTGATGATCTATAAATCCTGCATTACCCACAATAAGGAATATACCATAATTCTTATAGTCTAGGGTCATTAAGGTAATGCAGGGCTTCTATCATCAACAGTAGCAGGAAAAGGGGTACCCTGATGATAAAGGTGATTCTCCGGAACCTCGTCAAGGTTTAGGACGAACTGACAAGTTGGCACACCCATGAACACCGCCCTCAAACTTGAGCCCTCTGGCTCTTTAAGGGTTCAAGAAGGGTTTAGGGTTCAGGGTTCTGTAAGGGTTGTCTGAGGTTAGAGGCTTCGACCATAGCTCTTGCAAGAATCTTGAACACCGGCGGAGGGCTCAAAGCCTAAACCTTAAACCTTATACTCTGGGCCCGGGTGGGGTGGTAAAGATTGACAATTGAGCCATTCTGGAGGTTCTTACTGTGTCTATAGCAAACAAAATATACCACCAAAACCCTATTCTAGTTATTAAGGCGCCTATATTATAGTACCCTCATAGCAGCCCTTATGGTAACCCTTATAGAACCCTTTAAAGGAACCGCCCCGCTTTTACGTTAACTAATCCCCCCTACCTGGAGGGATCCGAGAGGGGATCCTAATGGTTTAGGGTTTTATGGTGCCCTCAAAGACCGGGTGCTTATTAAGCAGGGGTCTACAGTCACAGAAGTCTCTGCGGCAGTTCCTAGAGCGAACCGAAAAGAGCAAGACCACAAACCCCATATTATAAACGCAAATCACAAAGGCAGGTGGCCGAGCTCACGTTCCGTCGTGTCAGGGGACGTCAGCCACAAGCAGCAAAGTCGATGCTTGAACAAAAGTCTCGCGAAACTCTGGACTGTACCTTAGGGTTTAGGGTTTAGGGTTTAGGACGCCGCGTGCTCACTCGAATCGCCAGTCGTTTCGCTCCAGACCCTATGTGCGCTCTTTTCTTTGGCGGTCCCCTGTTTCCTAACATTCGTAACTTTCCGTGTTTCCTAACATTCGTAGCTTTGTCGATCAGCTGATTTCCGAACACATTATTGGCTACAGTGTTGTATAGTTAGACTTAGTAGCTGAGTGGATACACTTTACACTTTTGGGGAGAATCTTACCCGCTATAAAACTGAAAGTGTACTTTGGGGGCTTAGGCACTAAGTAGATGAGGGATCCTCAACACAAGCAGTCTTGAAGAACTTAGGGCCATGGGAGCAAAATCAGAAGTTACATCGGAGCTTCGGCCGGTAGAGGGCTCCAGGATGTCAAGTCGACGGTTTCGGGATGTACAGTAGGGTTCCACGTTTTTTGGGTGGTTGTCAAAATTATGGTGCCTTTTTGGCTACCTTAAATATTCGGTGCCGTACTACATTAGCCAAAAAGGTACCCTAATTTTGACAACCGCCCATATAGGTCTTGGAATGTTTGGGGGGGTCGAGGTCTCAGAATTTCCAGCATAAGCTGTAGACCCTGAAGCTTGTGTACTTGTGTAACACCTTCTCGTTAGGGGCCCAAAAATCACATAAGCCTTTTATAGGACTATAGGGATGTCCCTACCTTAATGGGCTTCATCACAAGGGGGACTATATGGGATATCACTATCCTAATTTCTGCTTATGTGTTTTGGCCCTATCTCACCCGACGGAACGACTAGCCCAAGAATCATCGATGTCACATCATTTGTTCGTCGCACACACAAGTATCACGATGGACTTTAGGGTTTGCGGCTTGGCTCTTCGGGTTTAGGGTTAGGCTGGTGGCTGTTTTCTCTGAAACCGACTCTGATTTAGATCCGCCCGCCCTTGTTCGGGCCAGCTTTTCTGGAGGTTGATCCGCATACACATATATATATATATATATATACTTATAATATATTTATTATATATGTACGCACTTAGCCGACTGTCCTTTTCCGAGCCACCGGGAATCTTTGTCGATCCCAACTCGTACTGCAATCGAAGCACCTTTCGTTGGATAGCTGTTCTGTGTTTACGTTCCTATGGCAAGACACGAAAAGTAATCAGCAACCTGCGTATTGGATAGAACCTGCGTCGCTCCAACCCTCAGCCTTCTCAATGCCTTGCTGGCTGACAGTAGTTGTGAGGTTTTGGGATGTGGTTTTTTGTCTTTACGGCAGACGGCTTCGGGGCGGGTTTATGGCTACTGGGTCACACTTCCAGATAATTCGGAACCCTAAACCCTAAATGCCTGAACCCTACACCTTAAACCCCTAAACGCCTAAACCCCTAAACCCTTACTAAACCCTAAACCCCTAAACTCCAAAACCCCTAAACCCCTAAACCCCTAAATCCCTAAACCCCTAAACCCCGAAACCCCCTATAAAACCCAACCATAAACCCCAAACCCTGCCAGACATGTGGGCCCGAGGCTTTGCCCAACGACAATGGGCGGCGTCCAGCGCTACCGCAGCTGGGCTTTGGAGTACCATACCCTGAGGCCCAAAAGTAGTTCCTTTTTGGGGTTCATATTTAGAATCCGATAAGGTAATCCCAAAAAGGAACTACTTGGGGGCCTATGGGTACTTTGACCCTATAAGGCTCAAAATGGCCCAACAGCCTGATATAGTATGGTCTTTGGGCTCAAAAGCCTTAATATATGAGTCCTTGGAGCCTTAGGGTAATGCTTTTTTGGGACCTGTTACGTGAAGGGAACCAACTATGATCCAAGATCCTATACGTTTTTCTCCCTTTTTACTTCAAAGCCCAGGCAGCGAAATTTGTGCCGAGTTGGCGGGCGCCTATGCAGAGAGCGCGGGGAGCCGAGAAGCATTCATTTGTTGAGGGCTTCGGTATCTCAGACTCGAACATGGGAAATATGCTCTAACCCCTTCGTCCCTTTATGGACTACGCACCCCTTAGTTAGTAACAAAGGGGCTTTTCGGGTTTCCGGGAACCCCCCCTGAAATCACCCCCGCCTTTCAAAACCTACTTGTCGCTAGGGGGATTCAAGAGCAAGCGCAAGAGCCAAGGCAAGAGCAAGAGCAAGAGGGTTCAGGGTTGAGTTTAGGGTAGGGTTTTAGGGTTTAGGGTATAGGGTTTAGGGTTTAAGGCAGCAGGAGCGAAAGAAGGAACAACAGCAAGAGTTAGAGCATGAGCCCGGACACTAGCAGGAGCAATTGCCAGAGCAGGAATCAGATCTCCCCCGATATGACAGTAGAGAAAAAATCTCCCCAAGGACAACACACACACACACACACTTTCCGAGTTTTTGTTCCGGGGGGAGGGCCGCCCGTTTAACACTAGGGGGAAAGGGATTAAGTTAAATTGAACGAGGTTCTCATATTCAGGATCCGGTCAAGGAACACCGTTCTTTTGTTGAGGATTTTGGTGTCTTGGGGTGTTCGGCTTTACCGATATACCAAAACGGGCACCCTCTTTCATTCCTAGCTTGCTCTTAGGTCTAGCCATGGTTGCCTTATAAAAGTCCTTAAGAGGGTAGTATACCCTGAAAGTCCAAGGCGGGGACGCCTGAGCCCTGAAACCCCGACCCGGAAGCCAGAATGAACCCGAAGGGCCCTACGCCCGATGCCTCGTCACCCTAAACCCGAAACCCAAAAAGTTTAGAGGTCTATCTATTGGCTTATGCCTTACCCCTGTTTTAGGATACCTAGTTTTATGGTTGGAAGGGGTGGGTACGAGCCTCTAGGTAGAATCACGGTGAAGAGTCAGCGAAGATTTGATATAGAGGGTGTAGGGTCTTAGGGTTCAGGGGGTGTAGGGGTCTTAATATAACACATCGATATCCGCAGACTTGCAAGCGCTGCATGCATACCCATGGGCCCCAACGTACTTCCTTTTGGGGAATACCTTATAGACTTATAGGATTCTTAATATGAGCCCCCAAAACCCAAAGGGTCCAAAGTACTGTTATGGGGAGATACTTCCCCAAATCATAATAGTACTTCCTAATATCGAAACCCTACGTTCTACCATAAAGGTACCTTGGACCCTTTGGGAAAGGAGCTACTTCAAAGGGCCTTAGGGTTATAGCTCCATGCATGAAGATGCGAAGGTGTCGCGAGCCGACAAGGCTGGTTTCAGGGTTTGGGATGTGGGCTGGGGCTTACCTTAGCCCCAAATGGGTGGTTGTCAAAATTAGGGTCTCTTTTTGGGTACCCTAAATATTAGGTGCCGTGCTATAATCGGGACCCAAAAAGGAACCCTAATTTTGACAACCATCCAAATAACCTACCTTTTAGGGACCTATATTAATCATACTAGCGGGCCCTAAACAGGTAGGTTCCTCAGGGTCTAGGTAGGGCTTAAGGTGTACTTGGAGGTACATGGGTAGGTATAAGTTGGGCTAAAAGTTCCCTAACATAGGCTATAAGTCTAGTTATCCTACTTATAGCCCTACTTATGACTACCCATGAACTTGCAAGTGGGTCTTGGGCCATTGGGGAGTCGCGTTTGTGTAGGGTGTTGGGTTTCGGGGCCGGGGCCTGAGGTTGCCGGGTACCTAGAGGCTCATGCCCTACGCATTCTTTAGGGCGCCTACCTTGAACTTGGAAGATTACAGATCCCAGCCATGAAGCTAGGTATCCTAAAAAACGGGGTAGGGTATGAGCCTCGGGGTACGGTGTAGGGTGCGGCTTGTGGGGTTTGGTGACGAATGCTGTGATTGCTTTATGATATATAGTGGCTTCAACAATTTCCAATTCTATTTTTGGGGTATTATACTTATAGTAGAATGGGCCCCAAAGCCATATTCTAATGATGAAGGTCCCTATAGTAAAAGAAGTAGGATGGCCCTTGTGTCCGATATATGTAGGGGGTTTGGTGCCAGGCATCCTCGTTGCTCAGCGTAGCCTGCCCTCGAATTTCGGGTTTAGGGTTTAGGGCTTATCTAGGGTTTAGGGTTTATCTAGGGTTTAGGGTTTAGGGGTTTAGGATTTAGGGGTTTAGGGTTTTAATTCTCCAACCAGACCCAGATGATTTCGAGCTTGGTACCGTTACAAAGCAGTGTTTCAAGCAGGAGTGGTACTGATGGTGCATCCTTCTCCACCGCTTAGTTGGGCCTGAGACTGAAACCCTAAGGCATACTTAGAGGCCCAGGGGACTTAGCAAGTAGGTTATAAGTAGAGTTATAAGTACCCTAAATGGAGTTACCCCAATTATAACCCTACTTATAACCGACTTCCTAAGTCCTCTGGGCCTCTAAGTAAGGAAGCCTTCCACATGATGGGGCCAAGCCAGACGCATGAAAGGCCCCGGAAGCAGCCTTGAAACGGCAGATCCTGCGGACACGGTTAAACCCTCAGCCCTAAGCCCATACCTGATTAGGGCTCAGGGCTTAAGGCTATGGTTGCGTTTCGGGTTTCGTTTCGGCGATCCCCCAAACTTAGGGTTCAGGGTGGTTTCCAAGCCTGAAATTAGCTGGAAAACTCTTTGAGTTTTGAGCGTTTGCAGGGGGACTTGAATCCAAAACCCACCGCCCAAAATGCCAATATCCAAAGTCTTTAAGCCCTGAAAGCCCTAAACCCAAATCCATAAGCCTTTGAAGATGACGGTGGTGTTGAGGATTCTATGCTTGGTGGTTCGGGATGTAGGGTTCTCGAGGTAGCTTAGATCTTGAGGCCCAAACATCCAACTTGTACTCCAAGCTCCACATGCGAACTGTGGCGGTTTCGGTTCAGATTAACGGGCTCATGTACAGGGTCTAGGGTTTAGGAATGTCGTGCAGCAACCCCGAACCCAGGATCCGCTGCATCTTCTCGTGGATGGTTGTGCAACCATTTCTTTGCAGTGCTCTGCGTCAGGCTACGAGTCATATGGAGACGTTTGCGCAATTCCTAATAATAGGGCTTCCTTGTGTGAATCCCTATCAACATTCATAGTGTAACATAGTATTATGTTCATATTGAAGTCCCTACCTATGAAGGACCCCACCCAAAGGGCCCGATAGATCCAATAACTAGGTTCTCGGGTTTGGGATGGTAGTTATGCAGGTTGCTATGTTGGAGAGTATATCATAACTAGGTAGTTGCAACCCTCAGGGCTATAGCTATTATGTTACAGACCAGTGCGATCTCCATCCTCGCTAATTAAACCGTTAGTTTCCGAATGGTTTGGAACGGAGCGTTTAGGGTATAGGGTTTAGGGCTTAGTGTTTCAAGACTGTTCAGGGGGCACGGTTTTAAATTTAGGGTTCCGAGATTACCCAGTTTTCGAGGTTCCGAAGCACACTGCGGCGAAGTAGAGGTCTTACGGTTTTGCTGCTGAAGGTCGCCGAAAAGCAGCTCCGATGCATGGTTTTGCGATCAAGAATGATCCAGAGTTGACAGCGCATCCGAGCTGGTGCTCAGGAAATCTTGGCTGATTTCTGGATGTTTGTTCCCACTAAGCTTCTTTGCAGAAAGATGTTGAATCCTTTGTTTAAAACGGTGTTGAACAGGATCCCATACAAACGCTGCAACAGATCGCGACAGCATCTGCTCGCCACAGTTACTGTTCCTTCCCGCTTTCAGTCCGTAAGAACCCACACTCCTCAAAGGATCCCAATCATGGGCATTCCACAAGAATCCCTTCTTAGCCCACATCATGGTAGGAGAATTACCTCTCGGGTCAACAGAGACCAGCGGCGATGCCCCACACCTCCTTCTCCTGACCAATACCTTTGCCGCGGACGGAGCTACCATCGATAAGGCACTCGCGAGGGCAATTTACAGTGTAGGCGGTGAGGACGTCTCCCTCCGACAGATGCGCGAGTGCATGCGTAGTTCGCAAGCTTCAATTTAGACATTTGTCTGCCCGTTTGGGTGATAGAGGGACCCAAGATGTGGTGAGCCAGGTTCCACAACGGCAAGGTTGTAATAAACTGCAGGAGCACAAATGTCACTGCGAAGGATGGGCATCCCGTCCAGAACGTGATTTCAGGAACTATTAGGAAGACTTATTTGGAAGCAGAAATTGAACACGGCGCGTAATGATCCTCGGACAGCCGACTTGCGGAGAGTGCTGAGTGAGTTGGCACATGGTTTGAGACACATCGGAACGGTAGGAACACATGGCTGTTGGAGGTGTTTGCCACAGACCATTGACCCCGATAAAGTCATGACAGAACCTCTCGAATTTGCGCAAGATTATTCTGCAGGTTGACTCGGCGAAGGCTGTGTCAGCGCTTGCTGCACAACTCGCCAAGGTCGAGTTTATTGGGCCCGCGAGCTGGGGGATTTTTCTTTAGCTATTCTGAGGACCCCATCAACAGAAATTGCAGGAGATTCGAAGGCTGGCTGTAAGACGTTAAACACGGGTAATAGCACTACTCTGTGTTTATGCCTAAATTGTAAATAAGCACTGTATTTATCAGTCCTCATTAAATTTCGTAGGGCCGTGCAGTCAGTATTCTCGTATTCATGGCGTGTAACGGTTCGTAGGCACACAGCTGATTGTGCATCGTACTAGAGTTGCTAGCGTTTGTCCGAAAAAGCACGGTTGATGATGTTGATGGGCGCTCAACCAACCTTAGTCTAAACCCACGAAACCCTTCGCCCAGTTCTCAAACCCCGCAGCATCCCAAGAATCATACATTTTGAATTGAACACACTACACCCCATGTAGCCCTCCCTGCGGCACCTCATAAGAAATCAGAGTGGCAATCCCCGTTGGCCCGAAGTTCCCGACATACCTTAGAGATGGTTGTTAGAAACACATACCACGAGCTTTAAAGCGAGCCTATAACAGCTGAGCATTAGCAAAGCTCAACAAACACAAACGTGGCAACTTGAAAACTTTAAGGGCTAAAGCCAAAAACTGCTCAAGTCAAAAAGGCTCACAGATTTACTGCTAAACCTGGAAACCAGAGAAAGTTTTGCCTTGGACCTTGAACACTACCTAGTATACGGGCCCGAACAAGCAGCCATAATGTTCCCTTCTAGGCTCTGTAATGTTAGGTGCAGTGTAATATCCCTCCACCCCCACCAACGCATTTTCCAAGGCCACCGTAAATGGGACAAGACCTTGCAGGAACTCGGATAGAACCACTTGCACGAAGCCTGGAAGAGAACGCTCGTCTCATTGTTAACGCCCGTACTTCACTAAGCCCGAAACTCCTACATCCTGAGCCCTATTTTGGATCCTCTTGGATGTGAGGTCGAACCGAAGCCAGACTTTCTCAAGGACCGAAGAGCGATGTGCAGTTAAAGGGCCCCAAGCAGTGATGGACCCAAAAGGCGATAGTTGGGCTGAATGCAAAACCAAGCGTTATAGGGTTGTGGCTTACGTGTCGTCTCCATTGTAGCCAATCTTCCGGGTTACCTTACTACAGCATCCTGAATATACATCTGGTCAACCCGCAAGTCAGAGGCGAATGGGAGATCTTTGTCTTTTGTCGGAGGGGGCAGCAGCCCGAAGATTCCTTTTCAACGGTGCGGCACAGGATGCAACAAATGTGGCTGGTAAAATTCGGATTCAGGTCTTAAGGTTTAGATGGGTTTAGGGTTTAGGGTGCCTTAAAGCCTCGCAGGCAAGGTAGACCGGAAAGGTAGAGAAGAAGCTGCTGCAGCATGCAGCAAAGGACGCTTCGGCCTACATCCAAGAACGTCCAGTGAGATTGCCTTCATCTGCTGGAATGGCAAGGTTCCTAAGGTGACACAGCGTGCCCGGCTTTTCGTGGACCCTGGCTCACACATCTATTCAGATGTGCTGAATCGAGTACCGGTTGCACAGACATCTGAGCTCAATACCTGCACAGTGGCAGAGAGTGAGCAGATTCAATACCAGATCTCATCAGCATTTCGCGAGTGTGAGGACTCAGGCAATCAGCGAACCGAGGAGTGGAGGATGTGGACCGTCGGTATTTACTGCTTCCTAACTTGTGGCGAGAAGCTGCGGGCAGCGGTGCCAGATCATGAGCAAGCCAAAGAGGCTGCAGTGACTGCCGCGATTCAGCTGGACCGTGACAAAGCCGAGAAGGTTCAGCACGACATGGAGAGCGAGTTCAGCTTTGCAAAGAAGCTGTGCAAGAAGGCCGCGGACTTGATGGGTACCTTGTGCGCAGGCCCTCATGCAGCAGATGGCTGATGCTTGCGTACCCTAAGCCTTAAAACCTGCTATGTTGGGAAGACGTCCAGCAGCACTTGGCCCTCTTCTCCATGTAGGGTCTTAAAGCCCAAGTTCCACACGGGCAGTGCGGATGGAGGTGATAACTGGTGCGGTGTTTCGGAACGCAGTGGCTACCATAACAAACGCTACTTTAATTTAATCTAAACCCCCAACCCTAAACTTCCCTAAACCCTGAACCCTAAACCTCTCGATCCTACTAACCCCCAGCCTAACTCCGAAACCTTTCAGTCTAAGCCCCCTAAACCCACAACCCTCAATCCCGGACTGCAAGGGTCCAGAGGACCTAGTTATTCGGCACTCGGCTTTAGGATAGTGGGTATGTAGGTTAGGTCTTTGGAGAGTGTATGATAACTATAGGTACCTGGACCTTTCAGGATAAGCCCTAGACCCCTGCGACCCGGTCCTCAGGGCGTATTGCCTTATTGCCCAAGCCATGGCCCCCAAACAGGTTCCTTAAAGTTTAGGGTTTAGGGTTCGGGTTTCGCCTATGAAGGCCTAAACCGTTGCAACCCCCTACAGTTCTGAAGATGGAGACCCATCAGTAGTAGTACCTTACCCCACTACCAGGGAGTCCACAGGACCCAATAATTAGGTCCTCGGCGTTAGGATAGCAGTTATGTAGGTTAGGATGATAGTGGTTATGTAGGTTAGGATTTTGGAGGGTGTATGGTTATTCGGTACCTGGACCCTTTGTGCTAACCTAAACCGTTGCAAAACCATCGAGCCCCCAAAATGAGACCCACAAGTAGTAGTAGGGTTTAGGGTTTAGGGTTTAGGGTTTAGGGTTAGTAGTACTTCACCCTACAGCCTGCAACCCTCAGACCCTGCAGCCGTGTCAGGAGGAGTCCGTGGTGTCCCTGCACGCGCAGCTGAAGGTGGGGTGCCATGCTCAATTGGCAGTTTCTGAAAAATTAAGGGTACGACATTAGAGTGCCCTATGTTCGCAAAGAGCCTGGTTTAGGGTTGAGGGTTCCTTTTCGGAGTTATGTTAAAGGATCCTACACATAAGATTGGTTATGCTTAAAAAAGGAACTACAAGGGGACTATAGGTAAGGACGAGGTCAAGTAATTAAGCCTACACCTTGAGTTGACGCCCAAAAAGTGTGGGGTCTTACACCTTTTGTTCATGCTGAATCTTGCTCTTGGGAACGAGCCAGACCTGTTTTGAGGGATTTTTGCTTTGTAGGTTCAGGCTTCCTGGTCTACTTGGAGGCCCTTTTGACTTAGTAAGTAGGGTTAGTAAGGTGGGTTATGGGGATTATAATAGGGTTTCTAAGGGATACTAAGTAGACTTACTAAGTCAAAAGGGCCTCCAAGTAGTTCAGGAACCCTAAACTCCGAAACTCAAACCGTAAGCCGCTGAGACCGCTCACGAAGAAATACTTCAGGTGCACGATGGTGAGCATGCCCTTGTTTTCGAAGGATCCTTTGCGTCGGGTATCCTCGTCTCAAAGGCGACTTATCCGTTTCAAGTTCATCATCATCATCTCCTTCCCGCTCTGGCTGCGAACGGGGCTTGGTGTTGTGCTGTGCATGGCTGAACTCTGCGGCGTGGAAGCAAAACTAACAGACTTAGTCCAGATCAGTCTATTGCTGAATTTGGGGGGGGGATTCTCATAACTTAAACCCTGAACCTGGACCCAAATAACCTACCTTTTTAAGGACTTAAAAAAAGAACTCACAATAAGGATGCCCACAAGGTAGGTTCTTTTAGTGTCCAGGTAATCCCCATACACCCTGACTGGAATTGATACCTCATGTTAGGGTTTAGGGTTTAGGGTTTAGGGGGACCTGAACAAATGCTTTTCTTCTGTCGTCAGTGGCTTTGTGGTGTGGAGACTGTGCTGGGGTTTGGTGGTTTGGGGTTGGGTTTAGGTGCAAGGCGTAGTTTTGAGGCTTGGGCTTGTACCCCAAAACAACCCTAAACCCTAAGCCCCAAACCTTAACCCTATGTAAACTCTGGCGGAGGACGCCGTGCAGACTCTGCCCACCTTCGAAGGTTCGGGGATTTTGGACGCGGCCTCGGCACACTTTCTCGACGTTCAACTCCTTGGGGTTTGAGGTTTAAGGCTTATGTTGGCCGAAACAGACCTATAGCTTTTAAGGGTTTCCACACGGAAATCATCATCAGGAACCTGCTAAGAAGGTAAGTTATGTAAGGTTCAGGTAGAATTCAGGGGTTGCATCAATGCAACTCGAAAGTGTGAGAACTAAGCCCTATCCCGTGTAGCCCGCCTAAAAAATCCTCCTGAAAACCGCAAGTTCCACCATGGTTCAGAGTTTAGGGTATAGGGTAAAATCCAAGCACTCCGAAGAGAAGACCGGATATGCCTGAGCTGAGACCTCGATACCGTAAGCGTTATAAGCCAGGTAGCCTGCACAGTTATTCACCAAACCCTCGAACTTCAACCCTTAAAGCTCTAGAGCTGTACATCTTAGCGCACCTCGAAGCTTGCACAAAGAACCTAGCTTCTGCTAGTCAAGCGTGAGTTCTATTTGGAGGGTCATAAGACTTAATAACTAAAGTATCTATAGTTACAATATACCCTCGATTTATCCAGGGTCCGGAAGGGTGGCCCTGGGTACCCTTGGGAACAGGGTCCGAAAGGGTCGCCCGACCCATTCGGACCCTACCTCAGATATTAGAAAAGCAAGCCAGTTAAAACCAGATTTAACTTGCCTGCGGTAGTCCTGCGGTATCACCGCACCGAAAGAATGCCTTTTGGGGGGTGGCTGACGGGGGGGGGCACTAGGCATTGAAATACCTTGTAGACCCCCGGAGTGCCTTGTATGGGGGTCATAGAATATGAGAGAATAGGTGTGCTGGCGAGTGGTACAAAACATTTACCCTGAAAACCTAAACCCTGAAACCTATACACCAAAATCCAGAGACATCCAAAAACCTCAAAATCCAGAATCCTTGGAAGAGCCCCTGAACCCACAAACCCCTAAACCCAGAAATTCTTAACCCTTATGTCGCTTATGTCCCGCAGTAACCCAAAACCCCAAGCGCAGAAACCCTAAACCCAGAAAGCCCTTGAACCCAGATACCCACCAAGCCCCCAAACGCAGAAGCATTGTACCCAAGCGCCTGAACTCAGAAACTGAAAACCCAAAACCACTGAACAGAGGAACCGCTGAACCCAGAAACCCTAAACCCAGAATCCCAGAAACCCTGAGCCCATATCCCAGAAACCTTAAACCCAGATCCCAGAAACCCTGAGCCCATAGCCCAGAAACCCTGGCATGAACAGCCTGGCTTCAAGTGAAATCGGCTTGAAGTTGATCCTGTATGTTCGTCCTTAATCGCTACAGACCTCGCCAGGCTTGCCCGAGTGTGAGTGTCAAAACCCAGAAACCCAAAACCTTGTACTCCAAACCCTTGAACTCAGAAGCTAACAACCCAGAACACCTAAACCCAGAAGTTCTGAACCCCCAAATCTGCGAGTAAGCCCAGAAACCCTGCACGCAGAAACCCTAAACCCAGAAAACTCCTGAAGCCAGAAATGCAGAACCCAGAAACCGCAAACCCCGGAAGCCGCAGACATCATAACCTGAAACCCAAAATCACCGAACCGAGAACCGCTGAACCCAGAAACCGCAAACACCCAAACACAGAAACCCTGTAGAACCCAGAATCCCTAAGCCCTTAAACCAAAACCTTAAACCCCTGGACGCTGCACCGAAGCACAATAGCGGCTTGAAGCAAGTCACATGTCGTGCTCGAATCGAGTGGCCGACATGCCGACGCCACAGGGGCGACGCCGGGCGTCGCAACAGGAATCCACCGAGCGGCGCCCGGCGTCGCCCACACCTGTGGGAGCGGGGTGACGCCGGGCGCCGCTCGGTGGATTCCTGTTGCGACGCCCGGCGTCGCCCCTGTGGCGTCGGCATGTCGGCCACTCGATTCGAGCACGACATGTGACTTGCTTCAAGCCGCTATTGTGCTTCGGTGCAGCGTCCAGGGGTTTAAGGTTTTGGTTTAAGGGCTTAGGGATTCTGGGTTCTACAGGGTTTCTGTGTTTGGGTGTTTGCGGTTTCTGGGTTCAGCGGTTCTCGGTTCGGTGATTTTGGGTTTCAGGTTATGATGTCTGCGGCTTCCGGGGTTTGCGGTTTCTGGGTTCTGCATTTCTGGCTTCAGGAGTTTTCTGGGTTTAGGGTTTCTGCGTGCAGGGTTTCTGGGCTTACTCGCAGATTTGGGGGTTCAGAACTTCTGGGTTTAGGTGTTCTTGGTTGTTAGCTTCTGAGTTCAAGGGTTTGGAGCACAAGGTTTTGGGTTTCTGGGTTTAGGGTTTCTGGGCTATGGGCTCAGGGTTTCTGGGATTCTGGGTTTAGGGTTTCTGGGATATGGGCTCAGGGTTTCTGGGATTCTGGGTGTAGGGTTTCTGCGTTCACCGGTTCCTCTGTTCAGTGGTTTTGGGTTTTCAGTTTCTGAGTTCAGGCGCTTGTGTACAATGCTTCTGCGTTTGGGGGCTTGGTGGGTATCTGGGTTCAAGGGCTTTCTGGGTTTAGGGTTTCTGCGTTTGGGGTTTTGGGTTACTGCGGGACATAAGCGACATAAGGGTTAATAATTTCTGGGTTTCGGGGTTTATGGGTTCAGGGGCTCTTCCAAGGATTCTGGATTTTGAGTTTCTGGATGCTTTTGCGCAGGCCCCGCGAACTTAGGTAGGAACCCGAGCAAACAACCACGGCCTGGGAAGCTTGAGTGTGCGCCTTGTCCCGAGGCCCGCTGCCTGCTACTTCTGTGAACTTCTGCGTGGGTGCTGGAAAAATATATGCGGAAACCATGCTGAATATCATGAAAACTATGTTGAGCCATACCCAAATTCAAGCCGAGCCCGACGCAGACTCAATGACTACCAGCAGGGTCCGAATGGGTGGGTCCGAAAGGGTCCGGCCAGATCTACGGGAGACCCTGGGAACCACCCTTTCGGACCCACCAAACAGGGTCCGAAAGGGTGTCCCCCGGCCGACCCTGCGTATCTCGATCCTATGTTACAATTACAGTATATTGCAGTTAGCACCAATCAAGGAACTCCATGACCTTGCCTTAAAGGCCTCTCGATCCTTCAAACAGTCCAGGCAGCATTGAGGATTTTCCAGCCGTAGATCCCAAGACTCGCAGCAGAGGACAACGTAGAGACCCAGTGATACCTTCCGCCAGGATTTAAGGTAACGATTCCGGATTTGGGATTTAGGGTTTGCCTGGCTTATATCAAGAACCGACAAAGGAGCAGGTTATGGTGGTTTAAGCTAGGGTTTGCGGTTTGCCGGCGCACCACATTGTCTAAGATTCGTTATGGTCCAGGGCATTTGTGCTGGATCCGACTTTAGTGGATAGTGTGGGTGCAGACCAAGTGGGGTTGAGGGTGAGAATTCAAGCGACTGGAATCTTGCAATGACACCCTGACAACCTTTGATGCCAGGCTTCCCTCCAACGCCGGTGCTTTGACTCTGCTTGTGTTTACATATTATTATGCGTGTATATATATGCATGTACGCACACTTGTACATGCATTTGTACATACAGATACACATCCACTTGCGATCATGCATGCAGGCATTATATAGTTTTATAATCGAACGCAAAACATACAATAGATGCATAGGTGCTTTACCTATGTACACAAGCTGGACAACATGCCGACGAACAGCACGTGTATTCTACAGGCGATGGACAGTTATTAACTCATACCACAGATCACGATTTGGTGCGTAATTAGGGTTTAGTTTCGGCTTTCGTTTCCCTCGTGTCGAAGGACAGCCCTAAACCTGAACCCTAAACCCTAAACCCTCAATCCTATCTGAAAATTCGACCTGAAGTGCTTAGTTCATCATCAACGAGAGAGCTTCGATGCTATAGGGGCCTGAATATTAGTATACCTACTGTATTACAGACACCCAAACCCTAAAGGCCCCTATACTAAACTTATTGGCTGTAGACTCAACTTTTCAACTTTTGTGGTTCTTATAAGGTAGTCGATTCCGAAAGTTTCAACTTTTATTTCCTTGGGTTTTGGACCAGTGAGTAAACCCTTATAGTCATATATAGGAACCCTTAAAGGAGCCCTTTAAAGGAACCATCTCCTCATTATTAAGGCTCCCATAGTACGTAGCGAATTGCGAGGTGAGAGCCCTGGCAGATCTCGCGGGTGTTCTCTACCGGCGCAAGCGGGGCGAGGAGCGAGGGATTTGTGCGTTCACTTGTAGGGTTTAGGGGTTGAGGGTTCAGGCTTTCAGGGTTTAGGGGTTTAGGGTTGAAGGTTCAGGCATTTATAGAGGGTTTAGGGTTTGGGTTTTAGGGTTCAGGGTTTGGGGTTTGAGTGGGGGAGGTTTCAGAAGCCAGATGGCGCCCTTAGCAGTGTGGTGGGGTGAGTCCTCCTGGAAGTAGGGGGCCTCTCCGATTTTTACTCCTGGGACTTTTATGCTCCAGGACTCGATAGAAAGTTGCTTTTTGTTCTTTCCGGTGCGTTTCTATGCCAGCAGTCCGTGGAGGCCTTCGGTTTAGGGTTTACCTATAGTCTCCATTGTAGTTCCTTTTTTTGGTTAACGAGAATCTCCATTATAGGATCCTAACCATAAAACTGGTCAACCAAAAAACGGAACTACAATGGAGACTATAGGTAGGGCTTCTAGGCATAGCCTCAGCTTTCCCGCAGCTTGTCTTGCGGGCATTCCGGAGTTCTGCGTTCTTTCGACGACTTCCTCCAAGGGCTCCTGGCGTTCGTATATTATATGCATCTTAACTTCCGCTTCATGTGATGCCTCATCGGAGAGACCAGTGCCTTTGGGAAAGACAAGAAGTCATCTAAGGTATATTCGTTCCTCGGCGTACTTCTGGTTGGCTCTCAGGACTTTAGCTTTTTTGGCTTTCTATACGAACTATATAAGAACCATAATAGAGAGGCAAATAGTTTGACTTTTAGGAGGGGTTCAGAAGTCAGCCAAGCATTCGACGCTCGATGCGCACCAGATCGCAGTGGCAGTGTATGTCGGAACCCAACATTCCACACAGCCCAATGAGGTACTCGGTTATTGGAAAGTATAGTTATGTACGCTACTATTCCGGGGAGTGTAGGGTTTTTTGGTACTTGGGCCCATGGGGGGAATGCCCAGAAGAACACATGCCACTTCCCCAGACCCCCAGGAGGATCTAGAAAGTAGATCCCCTAATATGGGGCCCTATACTACACTAAGGGTACTTTATAGGAACCCCCATTAAGGGATCTACCCTAAACCCTAAACCCTAAAACCCTATAGATCCCTTAAAGGAACCCTTAACGGAACAATATGGGGCCCTATACTACACTAAGGGTACTTTATAGGAGCCGCCATTAAGGGATCTTCTTTTTGGATCCTCCCCTAAGCCCTAAGCCCGCCTAAACCCTAAAACCATATATTGATCCCTTAAAGGGACCCTCAAAGGAACCCTTAAAAGGAACCCCCATTAAGGGATCTACCCTAAACCCTAAACCCTAAAACCCTATAGATCCCTTAAAGGGACCCTCAAAGGAACCCTTAAAAGAAACCCTAAACCCCAAACCCTAAAACCCTATAGACCCCTTAAGGGACCCTTCAAGGGACCCTTAAAAGGAACCCTTAAAAGAAACCCCCCATTAAGGGATCTACTTTTTGGATCCTCCCCGGGAGGGTCTGGGAAAAACTCTGGGTGGGTCACTGTGCAGATCGGCTCCTGTGAGTCTTTCCGTTTCCCAGAGAGCCCAATACCCCTTAATTAAGGAATATGGCTTAAATTATATAGGGCTTCAGGGCTTCATAGTATAATTTAAGCCATATTCCTTAATTAAGGGGTATTGGGTTCTCTGGGTTCTGCTTCTATAGGTACCATTAGAGTATATATACTCCACACTACAGTTTTTTGTCGTAGATTACAGTATAATATTCTAGTATAGGCACCATTAGAGTATACTCCACACTATAGTCTTTTGTCGTCGATCATAGTATATTACAGTATATTGTAGTATACTGCATTCGCGGTAGGTAAGCCGAGAACCTCAACTGTAGAAGCCCCGAAACCCAAGTTTTTGGGGTTGACTCCACCGGGCCCTGCTCCGCGATGTCGCGCAAGCCCTGCGGCGCAGGAAGGCGCGCGCGCGCGGGCCGACAAGGAGGAGCTGGTGCGGCAGAAGAACAGACTGAGTGGAGCGGGCCGGTGGAAGGAATGAGGCGAAGGAGATCAGCGGGTTGGAGGTTATCTATAGTCTCCATTGTAGTTTCCTTTTTTTGGTTAACCATAAGATTCAGGATCCTATAGTAGAGTTTTTGGTTAACCAGAAAAAGGGACTACAATGGAGACTATCGGTATCATGGTGGAAGGAAACGAGAGAGGCACCCTCTTGGCACCACGAAGGTCTCTAGCTCTAGCTGGAGCCGCACGACTCGCGAGATTGGCCGCCGCGGAGACAAATGGGCTAGCTCGAGCAACATGGGGCAAAAGCTTCGTTAACAAAGATACCGAAATCCTAAACCGGTGACCCCACCTGAACCCCGGACTTGTCTACGGAAGTCGTAATAAGGAACCCTGATAAAACCGTACAGTATGGATTTATTCCGCGAAACCCGAAACCCGAAACTCAAAACCCTAAGCCCGAAACCCGAAACTCGAAGCCTGAAACCCTAAACCTCAAACCCGAAACCCTAAACCCCAAACCCGAAACCCTAAATCAAACCCGACCTTAATCCCAAATAACCTACCTCTCAAGGACGTAGGTTATGCAGGGTTAAGGGAACGTCTAAACCCCATAGTTCTCAAGGCGTTCACAGGGGCGGACGAGAAGAAGACGGGCATCTCCCTTGTCTTCGGCTTCTGCTCCAAAGGCAGATTCTTTTGTCTCCGTAGGGGTTCCTTTAAGGGTTCCTTTAAGGTCTGCCTAGGGGTTCCTTTAAGGGTTCCTTTAAGGGTTCCTGTAAGGGTTCTTTTGAGGTGTCCCTACAGGTTCCTTTAAGGTTCCTTTAAGGGTTCCTGTCAAGGGTTCTGTAAGGGTTTAGGTTTAGAGGTTGGGCTGTTGGGCTGAAGGGTATAGGGACCAAGGTTTGGAGGTTTTAACCCTAAACCCTAAACCCCTATAGTCCAAGGGCAGATTTCACTGAACCTTTTTTCAGTTAGGACTTGGAGCTCAATGTTTTTTGAACTGAAGGGTTTCAGGGTTGAGGGTTTGTTAGGGTTTTGGGGTTTGGAGTTTCAGGGAATAGGACCCAAGTCAAACAATCCGAGTTCTGGTTCAGGGTTTAGGGTTCAGGGTTTAGGGCTCATAACTTCCACAAGCTAGTCTTAGTAACTTAGCAATGACGGTATTGGAGGAGAGTATGGGTCGCTTCCGAAGAGGGTCCATAATATCCGACTATGATGGAAGTGGGCCGAGGCTTTGGCGACCAAGCAATGGCTCAGCCAGCAAGATATCAAGCGAACGGCCAAAAAAGTCACCTTGAAACCTAAACCCTAGACTTCTTACAATTGAATGAACCGTGTACTGTACTATAGGGGCTTAAATAGTTACCTTATTGCAAGTATAGTATAATGGACCCCAAAACCCTATTCACCCTATTCTAGTTTATTCAGGCCACTGTATTACTCCCAAGACCATCGTGCTGATGAAACAGACTTGATCAGGCTCGCTGACGGACCGTCGGGGACCCATTGTGGCATGCTGGGCGGGCTGGGGGGAGGGGTAGGGTGGCATGAACTCCGCACTCTATGTTCCACATCGTACACCTTGGGTTTTGAAACACTTAGTGCTTTTTGGTTTCGGGTTGTTGCATCTGCTTCCAATGAATGCCTTGTATAGTGGGGGTATTTGTATCTAGGCTGTATAGTAAAATCTGTAATCCTCATGCCACTAGATGAAGTATAAGGAATCCTGGCACGAATCATCCTCAGTCCATGTTCCAACTTTCTGGATACAGAGTGGTTGGGAGGGGCTGGGGTCTGCATGGCTCGGCCCTTCAGAGTTCCAGAATTTGGGAGATTTCCCATGCCTGAAACCCTAAAACCCAACCCTAAACCCTATCACCCTAACACCCTGAACCCTAAAACCGTGGATCCCTAAACCCTTAAAATGCGATTGCCGGCCAGAGCCGTAATTCGAAGGTCGCTGGCAAGCCCTAAACCTAAAGAGCCAAAGTAACAATATAGGGTCTTTAATAAATTCCTATACTACTTTGGGGGGTTGCAATATTATATTGCAATTACAGTATAGTGGGCCCCAGCACCCTTTGAACTTTGAAGCTTTGCCTGTTTTCTGCACGACAGATCCTTTTTTAGGTTACCTTGTAGGACCTTTACAACCATGAACAAAAGCCTGGTTAAAGCAAAGAACGGAACTGCAATGCAGGCTATAGGTAAACCCTGAGTCCATAAACCTTGAAGGGTTTCGGGTGAGATTTGAGTTGATCTGCTCAACAGTGGTTTGGGCTTTCCTGTGTCTGTCCTATAGGTACATATCTTACTTGTATCTATGGTTAGCGGTTGACCCTCTCTCCGTCTCTGTGTCTCTCTCACTCTGTCTTTCTCTCTCTTCCTCTTTTTTATCTCTCTCTCTCTCTCGATATAGATGTATATACAATGATGTATCTATACACCTGTACATAGTGTTACCGCAGGATGTCGTGAAGAGGGCATTCTGAATGATGTCCGTCCGTCCCAGAACTTTCAACGGTTTCAAGGCCCTGGGTGAGCTTAGACAACGTATGCTGCCCTCCGATTTCCGTTACATACTGTTGATGATATAAATCCTGCATCAGCCTAAGGACCCGCAACTACGGGAATTATGGTATATTCCTTATATATTATGGGTCATGCAGGGTTTATATCATCAGCAGTAGGGTTTAGGGTGCAGGGTTTAGGGTTTGGGACTTCCTTAGATGGCACTTGAGAGCCTGCATCTGCAGGTAGCATGGCCCTTCCTCCCAATCCTAAACCCTATCCTAACCCCAAGCCCCTTCTCCACCAGAACCCTACACCCTGCAAACCCTACACTCTATCCTAAACCCTCAACTCCAAGCCCCAAACTCTTCAAGGCTCACAAGAACCCTAAACTCTAAACCCTAAACCTCTAAACCCCAAACCCTAACCCTAAAGCACTGATCAACATCAGGTGCGGCAGCTGCGCAGGCATACCTGGAGGCGACGGGTTTGGGGGTTTGGGGTTTGTAGGTTTTGAGGTTTACCCTAAGGCCCAGAGTAGTCCTGTTTGGGGTTCAATTTAGAATCCGATAAGGTAATCCCTAAAAGGAACTACTTTGGGGCCTATGGGTAGGGTTCAGGGTTTTGGCGTTTGGGGATTCACGGTTTCTAGATTTGTTGCGCATTTGGGCCTTCGGCGCGTTGTTGGGATATCGAGGTCTAGGGTTCTAGGGTTTGGCTTTAGGGTTTTAGGACTGCGGGAAGGGAGGGCTGGAGGGCGTTGGGGCTTCAGGGTTCGTAAAGGGTCATAACGTACAGTTTGTAGGCTTCGGGGCCACCGGCAGGGTTTAGGAAACCTGTCCCGACGCTTGCTTCTGCAAGTAAAGTGGTACACCGATGTTGTATCAGCACTTGATCCTTTAAGGCACGGGGTTCTAATTGCAAAGACACCGTTCTCTTTACTGCAAAGCGGTTTTGCTGAGCCTTTGAGTCATAGAAAATGTCTTCGTGGAGTTTATACAGGCTGTATATACGCACATTGACGGAGAAGGAGAGTGCGAGAAAAAGAGACAGCGACAGAGAGAGGGAGAGATAGAACACAACTCTCTCTCTCTCTCTCTCTCTCTCTCTCTCTCTCTCTCTCACATATGCAGACACGTTGCACCTTGTACTGTCGAAATGTTTAGGGGGTTGCATCAGCCTCCATGCCTCCGAAATCCCAGCCTCGGAATTGAACATCATGCCCGGGTTTCTTGTGCTTACGGCTTGAATGTATTCGTTTTCGACATAAGAAAGAGCTAAGGCCCCGAGAGATTTGAAAATAAAATGTGGGAGTTTCCGAAAACTAGGGGTACCTTGTTTTGGAGTCCTTATAATACGGATCCAACTATTACGGTACTATACTAGGGTCCCCTATAACCCTACTTAGCTACGTCTGCTGGTGCTTTAAGTAGAAATCGTCGTGAGGCTACCTCTGCGACGCGGCTTTGGCCGTCACTGGCTGACGCTGCCAAGCTCTACCAAGAGGCCCTCAAAGAACCGGCAGGTGTAGTCTCGAGTTTAGGATTAAGGTGGAGGTGAGGTTTCTGGGGGCATTCATTAGGTCTAGTTGCTTCGTAGGAAGATGTTTCACTCTTAAAGTGGCTTTTGGATGGACCCTTGTTGCAGTTTGTCTGATGCTCGGTATGATGTTTGGCTCCTCGCACTTTGAACATCTTCCACAAGACCCTCAGGGCCCATGTGCCCAGCTATTGGTTACTGTGGCCCCAAGGTACCTAATTTTATCGGGACTGCATTTCGGTCAAAGTTTATACAACTTGGGTACATGGACCTGTGGGGAGAATTGCTAACCAGTGCAGTTTTCGGCTCGGGGGTCCTGTTGCGTCGTTATTCAAAGTCCACGGGTGAAACAGAAGCCTGAGCCCTCAATCCTAATATCCCTTAAGCGACACAAGAGGGGTTGTTTCGTGCTCAAGATATGACAGGCCACTAAAGCTTGCATTGCACCCATAAACCCAAACCCTAAACGCTATACATCCCTTAAAGAACCCTAACCCCCTTAAACCCTAAACCTTAAATAGTACATCCCTTACGGGCCCTTTCGGGACGCCTGCTCATAAATACTTTTGGGGGCCGGAGCTAGAGGGTCAGAGTACCCAAATAGTAGGGCTTTAGGTCCCAATAGCCATACTCTGAATGGTTTTCGGACCTAGAAACCCGACTATTTAGATACTTGGACCCTTAGGGGAAGCTAGAACCCAGAAGAGGTAGAACTGACGTTGGAGTGGAGGTCATGAATTTCTGGGTTTAGGGCTTAGGGTTCCTTAAAGGTTCCCCTAAGGGGCTCCTGAAGAGGTTTCGGGTTGAGGGTGTAGGGCCATAACTAACCTGCAAACCCTAAACCCCTAAACCCTAAACCCTGAACTTCGAGCAGTTGGCAAACCTACCATGGGTTTGGCATGAAGGTGTTGTAGGGCTTGGGACTTACAGAGTTTAGGGTGTCGGGTTTTTTCAGCGTCCGGGGGTTTTGGGTTGGGTGAGGATTTGGTGTTTGGGGTTTAGGGCTTTATGGCTAGAAGGTTTGCGGTTCGGGGTTTGTGTGTTTTACGGTTTTGAGGTCCAGGGTTTTCGGGTTGGGGCCGGGGTATCATGTTTTGCGGCTGTGGCTGTATACCATGGCTTGAGGTCTGGGGTTGCTTCTTAAATGAGCCCAAGCGCATGTAGTCTGGCACAAAGCGCCCTACTCCCCTACCCTAACCTTTGAATCCTAAAGCCTGAATCCAGGCCATATAAAGCCTAAACCCTAAACAGCTTCGCAGCCTGGATCTCTCCACATCTCCAGGCTGCCAAGCATGTAGATCAGCTGCAAGAGGAAGATGACAAAGAGGAGCGTGCCACATCCTCAAAACCAAGGAGGATGTGGGATTGAAAGGTTTGTGGTCCAGGGTTAAGTGGTCCAGGGTGTGTAGGGTTTATACAAGGTAGTATTATTAGGGAGACCCCTTAAAGGGTACCCCTTCTGAACCCTACTTCTGGCTCTCTTAAAAGGGCCCTTATTGAGAGGGTCTATATCCCCAAGGGTCCCCCTAATCCTAACTCCCAATACAAGGGTTTAGGGTTCAGGACTTTAAGGGCGAGGGTTCCTGGTGTGGGCCTAAGTTGTTTTTCGCTGCACTGTGCAAATCAGGGAACCGGAATCCTGGTCACTGACCAAACCCTTGACCCCAAAGTCTTTAGCCCGATATATATATATATATATATATATATGATATATATATATATATATATATATATATATATTGGCAGATACTGGTAGGTTTTCGAGCCCAATACGTCAAGCCCACACGCCCCAGAACAGAAAGCCGCAAGCCAAGAATCCTCAACCCCAATGCAAAGTACTACACTCAGACGGTTGAAGGTTTAGGGTCTGTGCCAGAACCCTCGATTGGGCAGTAGAAGCAAGAAGGTTAGAGAAACACCATCCGCCAACCCCACAGCCTGAAACGAAGAACAGCCGACAGAGATCACACCTTTGTTTTGTTTGATTTCTGCTTCTAACCCGAACTCGGGTCCTACACCTTGCCATCGGGTCTGTTTGGTTTCCCGGATTTGGGGGCTTAGGCATTTCGATTCGGGGCTACCTCCAGGCTGTAGCTGACTTTGTTGAAAGCTGTCATCTTGTCGAAACTCGGCATCTACTCAACAAACCTCGATCCGATCTTCGGGAGCGCGGAGTCGCGAGAGACTCCATAACCCCGGGTTAGCGAACCTTGAAGCTATGGGGTGTAGGGTTTAGGGTTTCGAGTCTAGGGTTAAGGGTATTGGATATACACCCCAAACCCCAAACCCGACATTCCTAAACCCTGAATTTATGTTGAAGAAGGGTTCAAACGATTGCGAGGCATCTACGCAGATTTGGTTTAAGGGTTTGGCACTTCGCCTCCCCAACTCGTGATCGAATCTGGATCCCTTTTTCGGGTTACCTTAGCAGATCGTACGTCGTACATATGAAACCGGTGTGTTCAAACAAAGGGAATTACAATCGATACTACAGGTAGAGTAACGGTATGCAAGCGGACCTGCTCTCTGAAAGAAAGGTCCACACTCCATTCTACTGTCGTGGTCCTCGAATGGAGCCTGATGATGCCCGAACCTCCTTTAATTTGGGAATGTACCTTAAATGATAATAGCAGATTCCCCATATGATGATTTAAGGTACGGATCCCTAATATGATGATTTAAGGTACACTCCTTAATTATGGGAATGTACCTTACATGATCATAGGAGACCCTTAATATGACGATTTAAGGTACACTCCTTAATTAAGGGAATGTACCTTACATGATCATAGGAGACCCCTAATATGACGATTTAAGGTGCACTCCGTAGTTACGGGAATGTACCTTAAATGATAATAGGAGATCCCTAGTATGATGATATAGGGTACACCCCTTAGTTAAGGGATTTTGGAAGGTCCGGGAAACCTGAAGCCCCAAACTCCCAGCCCTTACATTCGCTGCCGAGGAACCGGGACAGGTCCCTCTCAAGCGCTACAGGGGCAAGGCCGTGTAAGAGGGCTCAGGTTACTGGGTTCCTGTTAAGGGGTTTAACGTCGGTTACCAGCATAATGAAACCATATTATTTACTATAGATCCCTATTACGGCAACTTAAACCTAAATCCCTTAAAGGAACCCCAGTAGATCCCTCGAAGGAAACCTTACACATCCCTATTACGGTAAACTTAGAATAATAAGCCCCTTCGCAAGAACCCAGGTTAGGGTTTGGTTCGGTTGAGGCCGAGACGTTTAGGGTTCAGAGGCTATCTACCCACAGGCCCCATAGTGGTTCCTTTTGGGGTCCCTATTATATTCCGGCACTTATTATTCAGGGTACCCAAAAACGGGACTTGAGTTTTGACAACTACCCATGTGTAGAACCCTATAAGGTAATCCCAAAAGGAACTCTTGTCAAGGCTGTAATTTATGCTACCACAATAGGGTAACCGTCTTATTTAGTATAGATCTCTATGATGGTAGCTTAAATTAGACCCGCTTGAAACCATCTTATTTACTGTAGATCTCTATTATGGTAACTTAAACTAAACCCCCTTAACAAGCACCCAGTCTTATGATTTCCTCAACGTTCTCGGGAGCGGTGAACACATTTTGGAAGTTCCTCTTGGCCGATGAACTTCCTAGGCCCGAGGTGCTCCAAACCCTCGCTGTAGCCCCCAGGGTCCGAAGGACCCTTTAAAGGCTTCTATACGGCCCCTTTAAACGGGCTACATAGGTTTCTATAAGGTTCCCTTAAACGGGTTACTATAAGGGTTCTACTATATGGGACTTAAGAATTAGGTACTCGGTTTTAGGATAGTAGTTATGTAGGTTAGGTTTTTGGAGAGTATATGATTATTAGGTACTTGGACCCTTGGGGTAGTCGTCGGCTTCGGATAGGTTGAGGATATGCGTAGGATGAACCCTAGTGCAGCATCGAAATGACCTTCCTTTTTAGGGTTGACTTCATGTCGCAGTGGCGACGATGCTTCGGCACTTTCGGAGCTTTTTTTCTGTATGGATGCGATCGGAAAGAAGTCTCGTCGTATAGGTTCAATCAGACCAAGCTTAGCTTCATGCACTTGTCGAAAATCCATCGTCCACTGCCGTCCCGAAGCCTCAAAGCGTCAAGCATCCCTGTACCTTTCAGCCGTAGCCTGCTTAAGCTTAGCTTTGTACGCCGCACAAACACGAAGACAGCTCCACAAACCCTACGAGCCTGGAACTTCAACAAAACCCTCCAATAGATCGTGTGACCTCTGTAACCTGTATGGACTGCGTAAACCCTACAAACTTCAGCCGTAAAGCTGCAGTAAGCTCTATGAGCCCCACCACTTCAGGCTACAAACCAGGAAGAACTGTTGCGACAGCCAGTACCCTGAAACCTCATTATCATACCACCACTGCTGTGGCCTCACATCTGTCCTTGCTATAGCTATTAGCTATAAGAAGCCCTCCAAAGCCCTCTCAACATACTTTGCAACCAGACCAAACCGCCTCATAGGCCCTGAGCCCGAAACCCGCAACCCAACGCCCACCCTTCAAACCCCAACCAAATCCTGAGCCCTCTACACTGAGCCCGATGCATCTTAGGCGCTAAACCTCAAACCCTAAGTGTCCTGTACTTGGGTTTAGTATAGCAGTTATGTAGTTCGTTAATTGGAGAGTATATGATAAGTAGATACTTGGACGTTTTTTTGTACACCCTATACCCTAAACCCTACATCTTCCATCCTGCACCCTAAACCCGTAACGCCTAGACCCTAGAACCCCTAAAGCATATACTATAGTCTCCTTAGGAAGTATGTTTTTTCGTTTCTGTTCTTCTGAAACCCAGGAGAATATTTGAACTATTGTTTTATTATGGTTCTAAGGGGGGTATAGTACATATAAGGTAGCCCATAAAAGGAACTACAATGGAGACCATAAGCCCCAGAACCCCTAAACCCTATAAACCCTGTAAACCCCGAGCCGTCAGGGTATAGTATAAGCCCTAAACCCTATAAAGCCCTATAGATCCCTTTAAGGAACCCTATAGAACCCTTAAGGAACCCTTTAGGGACCATAAACCCCGAGCCGTCAGGGCTCCAGTTCAGTGGAAGAGCTCCTAACCATATCCTAAACCCTAAACCCTACATCTTACATCCTGCACCCTAAACCCCTAAACCCCTAAACCCCTAAACCCCTAAACCCTAAACCCCTAAACCTTAAACCCCTAAACCCTAAACCCTGTAGACCCTAAACCCTGTAAGCCCTCAGGGCTCCAGCCCAGCGGAAGAGTTCCTCACCGCCGCGATGGACTTCTTTGCCACGGCGCTGCAGCCGGCGGCCCAAGATCTGCCGGAGTGAGGGCTTTGAGTGTTTTTTATATGTAGGGGCCTTAATAATTTGAATAGGGTTGTGTTACTTAGAACAAGGAACCCCCAAAATAGTACTAGTAATTAATTATTAGGTCCCTATGATCGGGCTGCTAGGGAATTGGGCTTAAGATTAGAGTTACGGAGTTTTGGGTTAGGGTTCCGGTTTTAGGGTTTCATCCCGGCGTTTAGGATTTCAATGTTCAGGGTCTGCTTGGAGGTTCGTGGGTAGTTAGAACTGGGGTTTACAAGTCCCACAATAGAGGCTCTAACTATAGTCTAAATATAACTACCGATGAAGCTCCAAGTAGGGTTCCAGATTTCGTGTTTGAGGTATAGTTTTCCTACTTATGGGTGGTTGTCAAAACTATGGTCCCTTTTGGGGTCCCTATTATAATACGCCCATATAAACTTGCTTAGACTACCCATGAAACTCCAAGTTTTTAGGGTCTGGAACTGCGGAGGATTTACAGTTTCACCCCGACAGAATTCTGAAGTGTTTGTCTGAGGCAGTGCCGACGGGAAGTCGAAGACGAAGGACTGCTAGCATAATATTAGGTTCCATAAAGGGGCTTACAAGAGATCTATAATATACTATAGTAGGGTTCTATGGTGTAGGGGCCGACATAATTACCTACTTACACTATTTTGGGGGTTTGTTATTATTATATTTATGGTACAATGCATGGGCCCCAAAACCACATTGTAAAATAAAAGACCCCTATAGTAGCCCACTTTAAGGGTCCAAGTGCGTAGTCCTGAGATATGATCTTGGGGTACTCAAATGACCCTGACTTCCCAGAATAAGGAATGCTTGATTTATGGCAAATCTATGGTTTGGGCACCCAGAAAGGCCCGATAGTCCCAGAACAAGGAATGCTTGAACGCGTGGCTGTGCAGACGAATCCTACATACACCTAGCATACTTGAAGGATCAGGAGACGTAGCAGGCCGGGTTATAAGTACGGCAACTATACCTTTTAGTACTTTTTGCATCCAATTAAGGTTTCTTCCTGATTTACTAAGTCCCACGATCCTTCAAGCAGGGTTTCATCATTGCAGAGGGAACCGGGCTGCTAGGATGGGGATGGCTCAGGATTCAGCGCGCAGCCTAACTTTTTTAGGATATAGTACGTACATATATATATATATATGTATATATTTATAAACACCAATGTCAGTCCACCACAGACTATATATATATATATATATGCACATAGGTGTTTATACATATATATATATATAAAGAGAGAGAGAGAGAGAGAGAGAGAGAGAGAGAGAGAGAGAGAGTGTGTGTGTGTGTGTGTTTGTCAATATTTATGTGTGTATGTATATTTGTGTGTACTTGTTCATGGATCTATTATCTTAATGCGTTCATTGCTCTCTTGTATATACACATGCCAGTCAAAATGTGTACATATATATATATATATATGAGTATGTAATAACATACATATGTATGTATATGTTTACATGTGTTTGCATGTGTGTACGTATGTACCATACGTTTGACATGTCGACATCTATATCTATATCTAGAACTGTATCCGTATCTACCTATCTATCTATCCATCTTTCTATCTGTATATGTATGTATTCATATCTATATCGTTATCAAGTTCTACATCTGTATCTATCTATCTATCTATCTATCTATCTATCTATCTATCTATATATATATATATATATCCATTTCTGTATTACACGCACATGCGTTAAACTGTGTTCCATCATCTCACTATATCAAGACTACCTTCTACAACACCCGCCGCCCGTACTAAACAAAAGAGATTCAACCATCATGACAACACCGAACAACACAAAGACCTGACAAGAAATGGAAGTGTAAACCTTAATCCACCCCCCCACCCCCCACCCCCTCTGTGAACGTCTCGCTCGAATGAGGTCTTGAGGAGCAGATGGAAGAAGTTTTTTCAGAAACCTTAAATCCGATTCCCCAAAGCGGAAACGCCAACAAGAAGAGCAACGTGACATAGAGGCCGTCATAAATTACCTATATACTATTTGTTAATCGTTCTGGTATAATAGACCTCCACGCCCTCCCCCCCAAAAAAAAATGTTTCATTTATTGAGGCCCCAATCGTAATCCCTCGTAGAGGAGACCTGGAGCCTCCAGAGGGCGAGCTTTCGAGTTTTGCAGGCCCACGGCCTATCTTCCTTTGCTTCGGAAGTTTATAGAGTTTAGGATTAAGGTTGAAGGTTTACGCATAGGCTCCATAGTAGAACCCTCACGGCCTATCTTCCTCTGCTTCGGAAGTTCAGCGTTTGGGATTACGATTGAGGGTTTACCCATAGGCTCCATAGTAGTTCCGTTTGGGGATTACCCTATAGGATTCTCAATATATCAACCCCAAAAAGGAACCACTATGGAGCCTATGGATAGGTTACTGAGGTGTTCAGGGTTACGGTCTAGGGAGATTTAGGTGTGAAGTCAGGTTTCCGGTTTCCGATCTTTTAGGGTCCTTTGGTTCGGGGTTTAGGGTTTAGGGATACGTATGTAGGGAACTGCAGTACTGTTATCAATGAATCATATTATGATTTAAGCTATGTTCCTTAAAATAAGGGGTATTGGGCTCTCTGGGTACCGATCTGAGCCACGCTATTCAGATCTAACCTGTAGCGCAGAAAATGCTTCCAGGCCAAAAGGGGTTTTAGCCTATATGGGGGTTTAGCAGGGATTAGGGTTCCCATCATAGGGTTCATATTAAGGAATCCTTGGCCCAAGAATCTTAACCCCCGTTTTTGGCCTCCCATCAATGCTTTCCAGCATTGACTGACTTGGTGTCGCATGTGTGTCAACATCGTGTTACCTGTGGTCGGAGCGTTTCAGTCTGCTTGAGGCTGCCACAAGCTACTTTTGTTGCAGGGGCTTACTGCGGAAATCAGGGTTTTGAAGCGCACTTTCAGAATAATAAGTTTTTCGTAGTTCAAGGTGTGATTTGGACAACTGAAGACTCAACGCCCTCGACAGTAAACCCATGTAAACCTTCACATGCTGAACACTTAACACCGATACCCACTACTGTAGGACGAAAAGTTTTTTTAGTTGTGGAAGCAGCTGCCGACAAGGCGCGACGCTGCACGAGTTCCATCTCGGCTCCCTGACGCTTCGCCGGGGTCCTCGAGACGGGATTGCAGTGCAACTGTTTAGGGGTGGGGCTTAGGGTTCAGTGTTTGGGATTTTGGCTTCAAGAACGCAGTCTCTGGTGTGTTCTTTTGGTATTTCATTGGTTTGTAGCGGAGAGAGGTAAGGTTTCCTCAACAGACCTTTAAAGCTGCGCACATTATTTCTTTCATATCTATGATGGCACATGGGTCTTTTGGTTCATGTCACCTACCTCTAGTCCGCATCATAGTCCCTTCTACTTCAGCCAACTTTATAGCTAGGTTAGGATCCTATAAGGTACCCCGGAAAAGGAATTACAATGGAGACTGTGACCCCAATCCCTCAAGCCTAAGCTCATAACCCTAAAACCCACGGCAGGTAAGGCTTCAAGAGCTGAGATTGCCAAGGGTGGGGCTCCTAGCGCCTTACTATACCTGGAACTGCCGAACCCCAAAACCTACCTTGACTGCAGGGTCCTCTATTCTTTTTGATATCGGGGGCTATATGTAACTGGGACCTACTTTGTGGGGGGGGGGTTATGCTAGTTTGAGGTGCAGACCTTTTGGGCTATGTTGAGCCTAGGGGTTAGAGTTTTTGGTCATTGTGGTGAGTCTACTTGGAGGTTCATGATTAGTTCTAAGTGGGGTTATAAGTCCCCTAATATGGGTTATAGTTAGAACTGTATGGTTATCCTACTTATAGCCCTACGAAAAACTACCCATGAACCTCCTCTTTTAGAACCTTTTTAGAGCCTCTTTTAGATCCCTTAAAGGACCCCTATAAACCCCACTTATAACTAGCCATGAACCTCCAAAGAGCGGGCCCTCTGCTTATCCCCAAGTGAAGCTCCTCTAAGGTAGAGACTGGGACGGTTGATGATATGTGGGAGTTTCCGAAAATTAGGGGTACCTTACTTTGGGGTCCTTGTAATAAGGATCCTACTGTTTAGGCTACTACATTAGGGTTCCCTATTTTCGGAGACTCCCATCTAAACCCAAGGCCCAAAAGCCTCCTATGCTTGATGATGTAAATCCTGGGTTTCCTTTAAAGGGATCTATAAGGGTACCTTTCAGGCGTTCCTTTAAAGGTTCTATAAGGGTTTTAGGGTTTAGGGATTTAACTCCTGCATTGCCCATAACAAGGAATATTCCCATAGCTTAGGGTCCCTCAGGTAATGCAGGAGTTATATCATCAACCGGATGAAGCTCCATAGTCCTAAACAGAAACCAGAAATTTGTGCAGGGGATCATGAGTATTGCAATAGGAAGCTGGCGTGCCACTATGGCGTTTAGGGCTGATAGTCTCCATTTTAGTTCCTTGTTCTAGGGCTTTCCAAGTTTATATATATATATATATATATATATATATATATATATATATAATATAATATATATCATATATATATATATACACAGGGTTCTAGAAAGGTAGCCCTGTAGTTGAGACTATAACTAGGCAACCTTGGATCCTAAACCGCCAAGCCTCAGGGCTTAGGAGGCTTGGGGTAGACAAGCCCTGATCTCCCTGCGCAACTTCGAGGCCTTAGTGTGGTGAGGCTTTGGAAGCATGTCTTCTCCCATTTCTCAAAGGAGCAGCGGTTTGGGCTCTAGGGTTTTAGGGTTTAGGGCTTTGCGTTTAGGGTTCATTTTCCAAAGGAGCTGGGAAAGATAGGGGTCTGGAATGGTTTGACTGATTTACAGCAGTATTTCCTGATAAATAGCCTCTATCGTTCTTTCTTTCATGCTTTCAATACATGGGGGCTCTTGTCCAGATGTTGCAGGATCTGTGCGTAATGACATTTGCATCAGGCAGTTGGAGTTTTGGCCTGAACAAAGTTCCTTTCAACGGTAGAATGCAGGGAAATCATGTTAAGGGAGCCCCAACATGTAGGTTCTTCGGGCTACAGGTAGGGTCTTGACTGTGCTTGGGATTCAGAAGGTTTGAGCTTCGGAATCAGCATCAACTTGTCGTGGTGTGGAAAATGGAATAACTTTAATGCTTCGGGGTGTGAAGGGTTCCTGTACTTGGAGGTTCATGGATGGTTATAAGTAGGGTTTATATGGGGTCCTTTAAGGTATCTTTAAGCGCTCTATAAGGGTTCTATAAGAGGATGTTCATGAGTGGTTATAAGTAGGGGTATAAGTAGGATAACTATGCTACTAGCCCCCAATTTAGGGGACTTATAACCCTCCATATAGCTACCCATGAACCTCCAGGTTCAGTATTTAGGGTTTGGGGTTTCAGCATTGAATCCAGAGTTGTTGGCGTTTCCATGTCCGTGGGACCCAGACCCAGACGTCTGGGCCTTTCATGCTTTGACAGCCCCAAACACAGGATGTCAATAGTCTGTGTGTAGGCTCGTACTGTGTTCGCAAGATTTGCAGCATGAAGATGGTTCGTTTAGATTCGGCTCCACTCAAATTACCATCAACATCCATCGCCGCCGACACCGATAGAACCTTAAACACCCTGTCACTAACTTAGGACAACAGAGGCTTGAGTCGTACTCCATAGTGATGGGACCCTCTTGCAGTGACCGGCGCGAGGAGAAGTTGCCTTTGAGTGAGCTCAATGATGAGACTTTCGGACGGATAGTTTGGGCAATCCAGGCGCGGGGTCGTCGGTCGTCGGTTGACCTCGTCCTCAGTACTCTTCGTCCTCGTCGTCGTAGTACTACTGTTCATCCATCGTAGTACTTGTGCCGTGGTAGTGGTAGTGGTGGTAGTAGTACTGGCTGCCGCACAAAATCATTGGCATGTGCATGCTTGGTGCATGTTCTGTATTGGCAGGGCTTTTGTCGAGATCACGAATATCATTGCCAGCAGATCTTGTATTCAGTGCCAATGGCCGCATAAGTAGAATCATCACGGTCGTCACCGTTATCAAGGGCGTCACGTTCATGGAGGTTTCCCAACGCCACGTACTCAATGTCACTGTCAGTCGGTGCCATCAACGGGGCAATGTTTGTTGGCGTTTTCATCGTTGTCATCGTGGTTGTTATGTGTCCGTAGAACTTAATGTGCGCTCGTGCAAGTACCGTAGTCTGGACCATTGTCACTACCCTAAGGCGCCGAAGTAGTTCCTTTTTGGGGTGCATACTTAGAATCCTATAAGGTAATCCCCAAAAGGAACTACTTTGGGGCCTGTGGGTAGAGCAGCAAGTGCAATACCGCCATCGCTCTTCGCCTGTCCTGGGTTCAAAAACTGCGCCACACTTTTTTCTTAAAGCACCCTTATAAATCATAAATCCATGCTGAAGAAGTTCGAAAAGCCATCAACCTCTATTAAGCCTTTGTAAGAACCCTTCATCCCAAACATCAGCCAAAGGCCGTGCGCCCTATATGCACTCGAATATACAAGTCCGATTAAAAGCCAACAGACTATCCTGTACACTAAGGCTCAAAATGGCCAGAAGCCGTACATAGTATGGTTCCGGGCCCAAAAAGTTTCATGATATCAGTTCTTAGAGCCGTAGGGTTACGTTTCTATAAATAGACGTACTTTAAGTCTGTGATTACTGTACTTGCTATCACGACCAGGATGCCTCCCTCGACAAGCGATCCGAACGTTTGCGCCGGCCAGCGCCAATGGCCTCGGCACTTTAGCGTTTAAGGTCTGTGTTTAGGGCTAGGTCGGTAGTGCTTTGTGCAGTCGGAAGGAACCTAAACCCTGAACTCTAAGCCGGTTTTTAAAGGTTTCGGAGTTGTGGGGTTTGGGGTTGCGTGGGTCATTTAGGCTTTGGGAATCCTGGCTTTGGGTGTGGAGGTTTGGGGTTTAGGGCCTACGTTTAGTGGGGTTATAAGTCAGGTATAAAACCAGAACTACTTGGAGCCCCGATTGCTCTACTTGTGATCTTGCACTTACTATGAGTCTCCTGATCCTCGAAGTGCTCAGCTGCCTTAATCTTTGTCAATTTGTGGTGGACATCGGCCCTATGTTGACCTCAGCTCAGTTGTTGTTGATCTTCTTGTTTCTTAGGTCCGAACTGTTCATGCGAAGAAAACCTCAAACCCTGGCCGCCTTGCATAAGGGTGTGTGCAACTCTTTGGGTGTAAGGTCTTGGCTTCAGCTGTCTATTCCGAGTTTTCTTGATTTTGGGCTTCGGTTTGGCAACGCGGGTCTTTCCCAGTCGAGGCCACAGCCCTAAGTTCTTGCAAGCAAGCTGCTTCCCCAAATTCGACATGCTTAAGGACTTTGCTTACATAGCCAAGGGCTTGCAGTTCTGTATTCCGCCGCCTCTAAAACGAATATTTTCCAGGGACCCAGAGAGCCCAATACCCCTTAATTAAGGAATATAGCTTAAATCATAATATGAAGCCCTATATAATTTACGCCATATTCCTTAATTAAGGGGCATTAGAATCCCTAAACCCTAAGCCTACAGATCCCTTATAGATCCCCAAAAGGAACCCTAGGTATTTCTTAATTAAGGGGCCCCTTGGGCTCTCTGGGGACGCGAGCTCGGCCTTGAACTTCAACTCAAAGGGGAAAAGGAGGGACCCTAAATGGGGACCCTTAAGGGTTCCTTTAAAGGGATCTTTAGGGTTCCTTTAAGGGGATCTTTAGGGTTCCTTTAAGGGGTCCTTAGGGTTCCTTTAATCGAAGGGGAAAAGGAGGGATCCTTAATGGGTACCCCTACCCTATAATTGGCTATACAATGGGTATTTAATAGCTACATTACATAAGGGTATATACCTAGGGGTTCTTATTAGGGGTCCTCCTTTTCCCCTTTGATCAACAGTCCGCGCTCCCGCCGAGGCTGGAGCTAGCGGCGAGCTTGGCGAAAGACGGCGCTGGCGGCAAAGAGGAGCCGCAGCCCTGCGCGCCTTTTACTGGGCTTTGGAGTACCCTACTTTAATATTTTTTTCTGGGACTTGTTACTTTAAGGGAGCCATTCTGAAATAAAAGTCTATAAATTTTCGCCCTGGTGACTTCACAAGCCCAGGTTTATCTGAAGCAAACAGATCACGATGCCTGCTTCATACTAGGGCCACGTGTGGATGGACAGATTTATCAATGAAGCTAGAAGTGGCACTACATGCATGCGTACATGCATACGTGCACACATACACATGCGCACCCACAAACACACACAAACACACAAACACACAAACACACAAACACACAAACACGCAAACACGCAAACACACACACAAACACACATGTATACATACATACATACATAAATACATACATACATACATACATACATGGGTTACATGCATACATGCGCAGGCACCTACCGACCTACATACATGCATACATACACACACGCACTCACTCACACACGTATATACACACACGCACACATGAATACGTACTTAGATGGGTGCTTGTGCATTTCTCTGCGTACATACATTACATGCATTCTTTTATGCTTTCGCCTAAACACATACGCACATGCATGCATGCATATGTGTGTAGTATATATGCGTGCATACACACGTATAGGCATATGCACATGTACCTAAGAGCTGCGTAGGTATACGGTATACAGTGCGCATTTGTGTGGTAATCTTTCTACTTGGGCTGTATGTGTAATGAGAAGTCTGTAGTAATTAGTGAAGTACAGGATTGTAGACGGCTTATGCCTAAAATACATCCCAAGTCCTGAACAATGCTTCAAGTTCAAGATCCCGAACGGTGGAACCCTGCAAAGTCCTTGTCAAGATATACAAGAGAACAAGAAACTGACTGACGGGCCTTATACAGTAGCTCTACCTCCCAAAGCTTGAACTTTTTGGGCCCAGTTGTTGAAGAAGAGAGAGAAAACAAGAAGCTGACTGACAGGCCTTGCTGCGCGGCCTGGCCTTTGAAACGGCTGCTGCGGCCAAAGACTCCGCCGGAGGCGGGACACGCAGTGGTACGGACCCAAACAGTGGGGAATAGGGTTTGCTGCAGGGTTTAGGGACCCAAAAAGGGACCATAATTTTGACAGCCACCCATATCTAGGATTCTATAAGGTAATCCCAAAAAGGAACTACTTTGGGGCCTATGGGTAGAGTCCCCACTGTATGTTTTAGTTGAGCCACTTCCACATTTAGGAGACCATAAGTTATCCCGAAATAGGAATGAAAATGGAGACTACATGTCAAAGCCGCCTCGTGGCACAGGAATTACAATGGAGGCTACATATAAACCCCGCCTCGTCGCACCGGGTGTAGGGTTCAGGGATTTAGGGCTTAATACAGCTTAGGCCCTAGTCCCCTAAACCCTAAAACCTACTGCGTTCTGCTGAAACCTGCAGGTGCAGCAGCACGAGCAGTTCCGATGTCCCTGTGGCTGCAGAGGACTTTGCAACACAACGTGGGGATAGATCGAAGTAACGACACTTCAATTTGCCGTAGAGAATCCCATTTCGTGTCGGCTGGGCCATGTGAAACTGCAGGCCTTGGATGACCCTAGAAAGCACATGTACACATGAGTGTACGTCCTTCTGAATGGCTTTCTGACTCCAGGGATTGGGCCCTGGTTTCGGGCCCTAAACCCTATAAACCCTAAACTGTTGAGAATAGTTGGGGTGGTTGGGGCGGGACTGCATGCTGACGCATGCACGCGACAAGCGGGCGCGCCCCTATTCCTAAAGTAAGAGGCGCACCCACCGCGCGCATACTGTTACACACCCTATAAACCCTAAAACCCTAAACTGCTTACTTAGGTCCCGAAGTTAAGACGGGTTCGACGTCGTTTTGGGGTGCTTTAACACTTTAGGGAGTAAGGTTTTATTTGTTGGAGCTTTAAGATTTGGGTCTAGGCCTAGGGAGTAGGGGCTGAGGTCGAGGATGTGGAGTTTTGTACCTCATCCTCGTGCAGGATTGACCCTCTCACAGCCGAGCAGTGCGCAAGCGAGGTGCGAGGAACACCAGTTCGGTGTCGACCTGTAAGTAGGTATGACTTCTCGTCCAAGTGCTCCTTGTTTGATAATAATTATCAGTCTACCGGCTTCCATCGGCAATGACGGCTTCTGTGTTTTCTTCAGGATTCTGTGTGATCTGCCCGGAGAGCCCAATACCCCTTGATTAAGGAATATAGCTTAAATCATAACATGAAGCCCTATATAATTTAAGCCATATTCCTTTATTAAGGGGTATTGGGCTCTCTGGGTGTGTCTTTCGGATATTCACGCTGCTTGCTGCCCTGTTCCGCGTCCACCCGAGTCTGTCGGGCCCCTTGAGAAGGTTTGGGTTTGTTTAGGGTTGAGGGGCAGTTTAGGGTTTAGGTTTTAGGGTTTAGGGCTTTGGGTTTAGGATTTTGGGGTTTAGGTTTCAGGGTTTAGGGCTTAGGGTTTAGGGTTTTAGGGTTTCGGATTGCAGGGTTTAGCATTTTAAGGGCTACTTGTTTCGACTGCCATTCCATGACTCATTGCCTATCGCGATTTTCTGAATACCGAGAGGGTCTTTCAGGGCTCCCTTTAAGTACGAACCGAATCGCTCGTGCTGTGTACTTGTCACACTGGTACTCCTGGTGTTCGCTCATATAGCCGTGTCTGTTCCTTCGGCACTTGTTTTGTTACGGTGTTGTGCATGTTCTTGCTGCACCCTTTTTGCACCCCACGACTTGTTTACTTACCAAAGCCTAGGTATCCCTGCATTAACTGCTGGGACATGTTTGCAAACATATGCTTTGTGCTGCAGCTTGTGTTTGTGATTTTCCCTAAGCGTCCATGTACCTAAATAGTATAGACATTGGCCTTGAAGTATTCCCTATGTAGGTACATCGGGCCCAAAGTATATGTTATTTGGGTGCATGAACCCTTTGGGTTTCTTCAGGCACACGGACTCGCCGCAATTTCAACGGCAAGCCCCAAACCCATAGAAGTGGGCACAGCAGAAACTGCTGGTACGGCAAGGACCACTTGCCCTCAGTGTTCTTGGATTCATTTTTTCACTATAGTAAACCCGATCCCCATACCCACTATAGATAACCTTCATTTTTCGTTCACCTGGCTCGAAGCCTAGACTCAAGGGCCCTTGTGATCACTCCACCTTCCGACTCAGGTGGCAACACTTCGATCGCTTGAGTGAGTGCCAGGAGGTACAGTCGGACCATCGAATTCGCTAAGATGTCTTCAGACAGAAGTTTAAGTCTAAAGCTCAATGATATGATTGTTCGTTTGTGCCCTCCCTGCCCTAGTCTTAAAGCTCCTGTGGTACTCTCCTACCCGCAACCCCTCGTGAGATCCCCTGAGACCTTCAGCAGTAAAGCCTCGCGCACAGTCTGTACCCAAAAGACGTTGTTCCTGAAGCTGAGGCTTTAACTATGCCGACACCTTCACCCTTATAGTAACACCCGTATAGAACACGAGTTGCTCTGTGTTTAAGACATTGGAGGCAGCTGGTGTGATACCAAAGCACTAGATGTTTTCCCAAACCTCAGATTATAGTTGCACGTGTCACACCGACCGTTTCGACATAATCCCACATTCGAAGGCCGGAACTCCCTAAGCCCTAAGTTGCCTCAAACTCGAACTGTTAAACCCTTAAGCCCCGAATCCACAAACGACACTAACCTAAATCCTGAATAACAACCCCAAGCTCGGCCAAAAGCCCGGGATACTTACAGAAGCAGTACTTCGAGCTGCATGGGTAGTTAGTTTGAGATATAAGTCCCCCAACTTGGGTCATACCATCATAACTAGGGTTCTCCCACTTACGATCCTACTTACAACTACCCATGAACCTCTAAGCATGGGACCCTTACATAATGCATAATACCGTCTTAGCATGCAATACCATTAACATCTGTATAGTAACACTTGCAGTAACCCGTAATGCAACGTGCAACCCTCAAGGAACCATTTTAGTAAGCCTCGCAGAAATGCTGCAGCAACTCTTATACAGCATTACCGACGCCTTGTAGTAGCTAACCCTCATTGCATCCCTTGTGGCAACTCTTCATGGCAAAGTTTATGGGGTCCATCAGCGACACCCCTAAAAGCCTCAAAGTAAACCCTAAGCCCAAAAACCTTCCCAAACTCCACACCAAAAGATCTAAACCCATAAGCGCCTAGACATTCCTGCAGTTTAAGGTACACTACATGATAGAAAAACAACCCTAAGCCCCAATGTCTAAACCCTAAACCATAAACTCTGAACCCCAAGCCCTAAACCCTAAACCCCTTAAACCCCCAAGTCTGAACCCCAAACCCTAAACCCTGAACTTTAAGCCTTAAACCCTAAACCCTACTCCGAGTTTTGACCGTCACCCAGACGGCAGAGCCTTGAGAGCTCGGGAAACCGAGGGCAGGTGAGCAATTCGGGGCCGTTTAGGGTTTAGTTTACTGCTCTTTGGAATTAAATTTACTCTATTATTGTATTAAAACTTAAGGGGGTTAATAAGAACATTGGTTATTATTCTGGTTCTAAGGGTTGCGCAGTTTGGGGTTTACGCGGTCTAGGGCGACTGCGCTAGTAGGGTTTAGCATTCAAGCTTGAGGGTGCACAGCACTAGGATATGAGGGTGCTAGGCTTTGGGTTATTCAGGTTTAGGGCCTAGCGTTTAGTTTAAATTTAATATCATTGAGAATCAGTCTGAGAGTTGAGAGCTCAGGGTCTTCGGGTTTTAGGTTACGAAGTGTTTGCCTCTGCTCCCAAATGTAGCTGTCGAGCTCACCAAGTTTTGGCGCACTTTGCATTGGGAGCCTTCTTGCGCGGGTCTAGATTTGGGTTGAGGAGAGCCCGAAACCCTAAACCCAAAACCGAGGTCGTTGGATTTTGGGGATCTCCGAAGTGCTGTTATTTGAGGGTCCCATCCATAGTAGGATCCTCAGGGTACAGTCTGGGCTTCAAAGGGGAGTACTTGGCAGCATTGTATGCGGGCATTCATGTTGTCTTGCAGTCTCCTGCCTGATTCGAGGTATGTCGCGGGAGTAGTTTCGACATCTGAAGTCTAAAGTATTTGGGTGGCCTCTACGTGCTCACCTCCCTGATCGATTTTCGGCCTAACGATACTTGTACAGATGGCCTGTTTGCCCTCCGAGAGGAGATGTTCCAGCAGATATGGGTCAGCGCAGAAGAACTGAGATTTCGATTGTTTTCTGTCAGTACAACAATAGCGGTGTGGGTATGAACAGTCAGTGGTCCTAGTGGTGCCATGATCAGTTGTCAGTGGGATTAATAGTTTCCGTCGTCGTAGTAGTGGAAGCAGAAGCGCAAGTGGTAAAGATGGACATGGTAGTGATAGTGGTATTGGTAGTGATCGTCGCACTAGTAGTGGTAGTAGTGGTAGTGGTAGTGGTAGTGGTAGTGGTAGTGGTAGTGGTAGTGGTGGTAGTAGTACTAGTGGTGAGTAGCGGTGCATAGTAGTGTGTAGTAGTGATAGTAGTGGTGTGTAGTGCAACGTAGTAGTGTGTAGTAGTCTGTATTAAAATCTAGTACCTAGTAGGTATCAAGTTAGTAGTTAGTAGTCAGTACTTCTAGCAATACTTAATTAGTAGTTGTGTTTGTAGTTGTCGTTGTAGTTTTTGTTGTTGTGGTTGTGGCGATTGATTTTGCTGCCGTTGTTGCAAGCAGTAGAGATATTGACAGTGAGTGGATGTCGTAGAGTTGCAGCGTCAGCAGGAGGAAGCGTGCTGCGCAGAGGCGGTGACAATATTACCTTATGCAGGCGAGAGTGTCCTTTCTTTCGGTTTGTTTGTAGCTATATGGCATTACTGTGGGATACCTCAGAACGGGCTCTAACAATGCAGTCTTGTTGCATTCTCGCGAAGCTTCATGTTAAAGGCCACCCCCATGCTGAGACATCGACGCAGGGCTTCGTGCGGACAATCCGGATGCTACTCAAAAACATGCCAGGTGGGTTATGTCACAGATGTAAACTAAGGTTCCCAAGAAGGTACTCATCCTACGTGCGGTGAATTGTACTAGGGACAAACGACCCTAAGATGCTGGTCAGCATGGGGACAGCAAAACCTAAATCCTTTCACCTTCAAGCCCTTACACTGGGGCCGAAAACCTTGAGCAAACTTTCGAGCAAGCTGTGCGTCAGTAGTTTGGTTTCAAGAACAAGCCTTGGACTTTGAACAAGCCACTAAGCTCTTGAGTCCACTAGCTGGAACGAACACCTCGCCAAAGATCCTCATACCGAACCGTGACCCTAAGCCCTCGAATGCTGAATGCTGCCCTCAACTTTCAGACCCTCATACCTCAACTAGGACCGAGAGTGGGCCCTTATTACTTTTTTCCGGGTTTAGGTTACCTTTTTTATCGCCCTTTAAACCAAAAAGGGCACCTTGTTTATTCCTAGGTTACTTTTAGGTCTAGTCAAACCTCAAGGCATGAAGCTCCATCGCCGAACTAACTGGACATGAGCCCGACTGCCCAATACAGGTGCCTCAATAATTACCTATACGGTTTTGGGGGCTCATTCTCTATCGGGGCGCGCAACCTTGTTCTAATTATTGAGGCCCCTACTATATTGCATCAACGACCCAGAGCAGGAAGCAGATGATCTTCGGTGTAGGTTTTTAGTGCTTAATGTTTCAACTATTGGGGTTTACCTGCCCCTCCCAACCGCTTCTTTTTAGAGCCTAAGCACCCACTATTAAGGACCATAAGGCCTTGATTAGAGGGTACTTAGCGGGGTGCTGGTTGGTCTCAGGTCTTTGCCCTTGATCCCGACTTTTGCTTCTCGTATCCTCTCCACCTGGGCACCTGATACGGGATGAGAACGTTTGCCGGCTCTGCCAAGACGGACGGAGCGATCCACCTATGACATGACTACCATTTCATGTGCAGCTGAGTTGTCACGGCTAAAGATGCTGAGCTAGAAGTGGATGCCCAGCTTAGTTAGACTCGAAGTACCCTGAGCTTAAAAGTACGCCTAAAGAACAACAAGATTAATCGAACCCCCTCTCACAGCTTTGATTCCCCCTCAAACCCCTGTCCCTAACTAGAGACCCAGATCACTAGGCTCGCGTGTTTTCAAGGGAAAGGGCATTGACTTATTTCCACAGTGTTTGGAAGGGGCAGAGAATTGTAGCGGAGATTTCTGGAGTCAGCCAGTAGTCTGTGAAGCAAAGCACCTCTTGATCCCGCATCTCCATAGCACGGGAGTCTTCGTAGTTAATTTTAATTGTAGCATTCTCTCAACGCCCTTTTATGCTTATAATACAGCAAAGCACGAAGCCTAGGATTGAGAGTAGGCCCTTATTCCCTTTTTTCGGGTTTAGGTTACCTTATAACCCCCTTGAAGCCAAAACGGGCACCCTTTTTATTCCTAGGTCACTCTTAGGTCTAGAAGCCCTAGTCTAAGCATTATAAGGCTTCTGCATTGTGTCATGGCGCCCTGCGGCGAGCAGTGCGCGAGATCAGGCTCCCAGCAAGTTGTGGTACGCTTTCCACGACTTTGTGTTCGACCTATACCCCTAGGGCTAAAGGACTCATATATTAGTGCGTTTGGCCCAAACACCATACTATATAAGGCTTTTGGGCCATGTTGATCCCCAGGGTACTTTGCCCTCGGAGAGGGCCAACTGCGACGTTCCCATGTTTTCGCAGCTTTGACGGTGCATGCAGATGCTCCTAAACCTTCCTCTCTTCTACGTATTTCGTCCTTTGCAACATGGAGGATTCTTCTCGGCTCCAAAGCGATGAGCTGCTGAGATCAAAGCAAGAGGAAACCCTACGAGTATCTTGACTCCTCCGTTGCCAAAGGAAGCAACCTCAAGGCGTACAGTCTCGATCGTAGTTCCCTCTTTCTCGGTTTAACAAATTTTTGTATTTAACAAGATTTCGTATGCAGGATCCCCAAAACGGAACCACAATAGACACTGCAGGTAGCCGAACCCTGAACCCCAAAAGCCTGATGTCCTGAAGCCCGAAGCTCAACCTCCCGCGGCCTAGCCTAGATCCTGCGAGCCCTGATTAATGTGCCAGCCTTCATATGGGTGGTTTGTCAAAATTATGGTCCCTGTTTGGGTCCCGATTATACTACGGCACCGATTATTTCGGGCACCCAAAAAGGGACCATCATGTTGACAACTACCCATATGTCTGTGCTATACACCCGCGGAAACTATGGACTGGGAATGCTGGCACATAAGAAGCCCTGCAACCCTTTTCTACTACCGAAGGCCTGGATGATGCGCCTCGCTTTCGGCCTTCTGCTGACTGTGAGTGTGCCCGAAATGGGCACTTGGGTCAGACAGGGTTTCCAGTACAGGGATTGGGATGCCAGGCCTCGTTGGGTGTTGGGGCTTTATGAGTGTTTAATGGCTTGAGGATTCGTGACTTCGGGCTTGAGGTCCGGGGAGGTGTTCAGCGTTCAGGGTTAGAGGGTCTGGGGTGCCTGCCTTCACGGTACACATGGGCTCGGGTTATAGGATTCAGGGGAAGTTGTTCATGCTGTTATGCGTCTCGCTTTGTTGTGTTTTTTGCGCTTGTCTGCCTCCTTGTAGTTCTGGTGACTGTATATGTACTAAACCCTAAATGTAATCTAGGTCTGGTGATATTGGACGCAGAGGTAAGATGAGGGTTAAGGTGGATCTGCACCAGATGCTGCTGATCGTGGCTGATGCCGGAAGGATCCATGTACCCATACAGTGTATATAAACGAGTAAGTAAGTAACAACCAAGTAAACAAATCATATTTATATATAATGTTATGCCGGAAGGATCCATGTACTACAGTGTATATAAACGAGTAAGTAAGTAAGTAAGTAAGTAAGTAAGTAAGTAAATAAGTAAGTAAGTAAGTATAAGTAACAACCAAGTAAACAAATTATATGTATATAAAATATTTTATACATGTATAAACATGTGTGTGTGTGTGTATATATATATATATATATATACTTGGCCCTATAGTCCCTAAACAGGACTCCTTGAAGGCTTCAGTAAATATAATCTCGTGCATGGACCACTCGGGATGGAGACTGTCACACTTGCGGAGACGTTGGCGCATCATCTTTGGTGCCAGCACCGCGGCAGTTCATCCGGAAGTTTGGAGTTTAAGGTCCGAGGGCAACACCACAACGTCCCGTCGGATCACAGATGTTGCAGTTTCTGACACGGGGCAACAAGATCTTGTAATACTCAGGGGATGTCAAGTGTTCTAATTCGATCCAGGTTTGTGGGCACAGTCAGGTTCTTGTAGGCTCCAATGATTCCGGGCCAGAAGCCCTTAGACTTACTGGCAACATGTGGGAACAAGACAATCACCAGCCGCAATTGCATATTGCAACCTAAAACCCCATACCCTAAGCTCTGTCCATTTCTGGTTGAGAGGATGCGGGCCAGGCTCTTCAAAGAGAACTTTGTGTCACGAAGAGTGTCCGGTTCGGTTAGTCCAGGGTTGTTTAGGTAGAGGGGCCTCAGAATTCGATACCACAGGAACTCAGTTTGGACTCCGATCTACGTGCCTGTCCCGAGCTCCGAATCAGAAGCTCATGACTAAGAGCTACATATAGTCTTCATTCTAGTTCGTTTCGGGGTTAGCTTATAGCATCCTGAATATGAAATAGGCTAAACCAAAAAGGGAGCTACAACAGAGACTAACCCTAAACCCCTAATCCCTAAACCCTTAAACCCTAAACCCCTAAACCCCTAAACCCTAAACCCCTAAACCCCTAAACCCCTAAATGGGTAGATTCCGTCAGGTGCTGTGCATCGCCGATGTGCCGCTGGTACAGCTCGAAGAGCACGAGGCAGATTGGTCGGGCTGGGGCTTAGAGATTAGGATTTCGGGTTTAGGAAGTTTCAGGCTTAGGGTTTTAGGTCTTGGGCTTAGGGTTTAGGATTTTCGGGTTTAAGGTTTAGGGCTGAGGGTTCTTGGGGTTAGGGTTTTAGGGGTTAGGGTTTAGGGGTTCAGGGTTTTCGGGTTTGAGGATTTTCGGGCTTAGGGTTTAGGGCTGAGGGTTCTTGGGCTTAGGGCTTAGGGTTTAGGATTTTCGTGTTTAGGATTTTCGGGTTTAGGGTTTAGGGCTGAGGGTTCTTGGGGTTAGGGCTTAGGGTTCAGGATTTTCGGGTTTAGGATTTTCGTGTCTGGGGTTTAGGGCTGAGGGTTCTTGGGTTTAGGGTTTTAGGGTTTAGGGCTTTGGGTTTCAGGGGTGTCGGGTTTTAGGGTTTAGGGTTTTTGGGTTCAGAGTGTAGGGTTGTCTAGGTTTGCTGGTGTTCTGCTGCGAGAATCGAATCAAAATGGCGAGCTAAACCCCAAAGCCTGAGGTTCAAGGTCTTGCATGACTGCATTCCCGACCCTAAACCCTAAACCCTAAACCTAAACCCTAAACCCTAAACCCTAAACCCTAACCCTAAACCCTAAACCCTAAACCCTAAAACCGATCTTTGAACCTCAACCGATGATGAGGGAGTTTGGCATGAGCTTCAACATCCTCTTGGCGGCTAGAACCTGCTTGTCTTAAGGCTTAAAATAGTAATAGTAATAGTAATAGTAATAGTAATAGTAATAATAATAATAATAATAGTAATAATAGTAATTAGTAATAGTAATAGTAATAGGCTTACCGCTTGTAGTTCTAGGATCTTTTTGACTATTTCGTAAGGTTTGGGTGTACAGGCAAATCCGCTATTATCATGTTTTTGTCGGTCGCCCTTCCGCTTTAAGAGTTATATAGGACAAAGATGCACCCTTACCACGACGTCAACATACGTCTTAGCCTCACAGCTTGCATTTCGCTGTATTGCCTGTCGTTTTTTGCGACTGCTTGCTTTTCAAAGTCGCGTTCATTGTTTCGGGTTCAGCGAGGAGCAGTCATGGGTTCAAGTAGAGGGGCTGTCGGTTCTACTAGTTAACTACCTACATCGCAGAAAGTCTGGTTTCCATGATAGGAAACTGATCATTATTACGGTAGTGAAAGTACCGCCCCTACACGTACTTAGAACCCTTTTGGATTGGAGTGCTTGGGATCGTCAGCAGCTTTCGAGGTCGGTGGCTACCACGCTCGGAGCTCGGAACTCGCGTGTTTGGCGGCTCATGTCAGGGTGTTTTCAATCCAACAACCTGTGATTCTGAGGGCGGCAGACCCTCAACCCCTGCGTAACCTTAAATTCTAAACCCCAAATTGACTATCTGGTACCGCCCCCATACTGTAGGGGCCGGAATAAATTAGAATAGGTTCTCGGAGTGTTTTGTATTCTGTTTAAATTACAGAACCAAAAGTACTCGTAGTATTGGTGATTTGTTAGGCTCCTATATTGAACCTGATTTGCAGGTCAAAGTTCGAGCCTCTTGCCGAAGTAAGCTCAACTTCTCGACTTTGTCAACATCTCAGGACTGCAAATTCACGATACGCTTTCGGAGAATTTGCCTGGCCCACTCCGACATTCCCCCAAAACATGGAATTGGAATCCGTGAATTTGGGAGTCTCTAGAATTAAAAACCCTCGACCCGATGAACGAAGGCCCGAACTAAAAAACTCCTGATTCCAGATCAAACCTCTGCCCACACCCTGCAACTTTTTTGCATCCCCCAAACTCCAAACCCTAAACTAAATCCTAACCCTAAGGCTCTAAGGACTCATATATTAAGGCTTTTGGGCCCAAAGACCATACTATGTAAGGCTTTTGGGCCATTTTGAGCCTTAGGGTAAGCACCTCACACCCCACACCCCAACAACACCCAGACCGCATTCGCAAGCCGATACAAGCCCCGGAATCCAATCCCTTACAGAACGCTTCTAGGAGTTTAGGGACATCAATCCCGTTCCCGGCCCTAAACTCTAACCTATAAACCCCTAAACGCCACCCCGATAACCCCTAACCGCTAAACCCCGCGTTAAGCCACCCCTGGCGCTTCCCAGGTCCTTCGAGGCCTGCGCTGCGCGCTGGGTAAGACAAAGGCTTAAGATGGGAAAGGGTCCAAGGTACCTTTCTGGTAGAATGTAGGGTTTCGATATTAGGTATTACTATTATGATTTGGGGGTGGGAACTGTGAATTATTGGGGTTTAGGCTTCAGGGTATAACTATACCACAGTGTTATTCCGGGGGGCTCCTTGACAAAGGCCGTACTACGATATACCTTGCAAACCCCATTGGTTGTTTTCGTTTTTTATATATGTGCACGGCTCTTGGGCAGATTTGTTTTGTTTGCGTTTCGAGATTCTTGCTGTTTGGCTTGTGACATCTTACATGTGCTTTGGAGGGTAAAGTTGTGTTCAACAGGCGTTGGGGGTTAGGATTTGGGGTTTTCTGGGCCCATGAATTTTGAGCAACAAGAAAGAGTAGAGTCGTTTGATGATTCTTCTGATGATGCTGAGAATACTGCAGGTCGAGAGACCGCGGTGACGGCACAGCCCTTCTTTGTCCTCAAGTCGTCCATAGGCCCTGCCCAACTCGCTATCATATAGGGGGCCTTAATAATTCTAGAACACACCCCATATTCCGATAGACGCCTACTAATTGCGGCAGTTGGTCCTTAGTTATCACGGTTCGCAGCAGCTGTGTATTGAATCTTTGTCAACTTGATAGTTCAATCTATACATGTTCAACAATGCTTACCTCGAACTCCGCTACTGTTGTATGAAACTGTATCGTGATAATTGGCTTGCATCACCAACATTTGTCAGGTTTCCCAACAATTTATATAGGGTTTGCAACCCCACCCCCTTTCAAACACGCTCAGAGTTCAGCGCTCCGAGTTTTCACGCTCGATAAACTTTCTGGTGCTTCAAAGGGAGTATCCCGCTAATGGGCCCTGTATAACCCCTCAGGCACTATGTTCGGGTTTCTCTGCAGGGATTGATTTCGCTACCTTCTGGGTGTGAACCAACGGCTCACGGACAACATCCTGCATTTCCGCAGGTACCTTAATAGTCAGCTTTGCGGTGAGTGGGTTCGGACAGATGTCCCCGGTACCTTAATAAGCTTTTAGGATGAAGGGCTAGGGCCCTAAACACACGCCAAGATTCCACAGGACCCAATAATTAGGTACTCGGTTTTAGGATAGTAGTTATATAGGTTAGGATCTTGGAGATTATATGAGTACTAGATATTTGGACCCTTGGGGACAGAGAACGCAGGGTGTTGGCCATCACAGTCCGTGTACCCATATAGCATGTACTTCGGGCCCAATGTACTTCGGGCCCAATGTACCTATATAGGGAGTACTTTAAGGCCAATGTACATACATGGACCCTTAGGGGTAGATGTTTGGGAGCTTCCGCTGCCAGGTCGTTGCGTCATCAAAAGCTTCCCAAAGCCCGGAAACAGGGAAACCCGCGCCCGCAATCTCTCGGCTTCCCGGGACCCGGAACACGCTACATACCTCTAAGGGTCCAAGAAATACCTCTAAGGGTCCAAGAAATACTAACCTACATAACCTATCCTAAAGCTGAGTATCCTTTTTGTTGAGTCCTTTAGACCCTTAGGGTAATGTACCGGCCGGTAACAGGTCACGAGCTTCTGAATCAAGCTCTTGCAGAAGTGCAAGCCATCGTTATGGACGATCACAACGATGAGGCCCACAGCCCTTCAGAGAAGAATGTGCTTTGAGAGTGTCTGGGACCGCCGTCATAGGGCTTAGGGCTTGAGGTTCAGGGTGTAGGTAGGGTTTAATGTTTGGGGTTTAGGGTTCAGGGTCCACCAACCCCTACGGCTGTACGACCTGAACTCGTAAGCCCTAAGCCTTACACATTAAAGCCCTTAACCTTAGAGCCTAACCCTAAAGCTTAGTCCTAGCATTCTTTAGCTGATAAGACCGCAACCGCCAACGCCAACGGAGAGTTAAGCCGGGCCGTTGCCATTACTTATAGAGGTCCGATACCGAGTAGTAGTAGTAGTAGTCGTAGTAGTAGTAGTAGTAGTAGTAGTAGTAGTAGTTGTAGTAGTTGTAGTAGTTGTAGTAGTTGTTGTGGTAGTAGTCGCCATGGATTTGCTGTCAACGGTGCAAAATGCACTGTTATGGTCAAACTCGAGGGCCAACAGGCGCAACGCGCCATCTCCAAGCACACTTATTGGCGCACCGCGCCTGACGGAACCCGCCATAAGATGTGGAGACTGGGAGAGTCCAAGTCTCACGAGGGCTTTCCGCTGGTGACGTCCTTTAAGTATCTCGGCGTCATGCTCTCCTACTCCAACTTCGAGAAGGCTACTCTCAAGTTCCGGTTGCAGGAGGGCAATGTGAAATTGCAGCAGGTACGCCGCTTCGTTCACAACAGACGAACGGCGGGGCCTGCATCGCGGTTGCACATTTGGCATAGCACTGTCTGGGCCACAGTAGCCTCTGGATTGGTGGATGTGGGCTTGACCCTAGAGACAGCTAAACTGTTGCGGGCTTGGCACGCTCGCAAAATTCGAGCTGTCCTGAACAAGCCAGCGCACCTGACACACATATCCACGGCTGACCTCTACGCCTCCCATGAGATCATGGACCCTGTCCGTAAGCTGCAGGCGCGACAGGCCAATCGTGTCAAGCGCTTAGGTGCTCGACGGCGGAAAACTCCTGCGGGGGACATCTCTTTAACCCAGCGCGCGCTTCTCCAGGCGGAGGCACTCTCTACTAGTTATGCAGACGTTCTGCAGCAACTTTCTAAGGACACATCACAGCAGGAGGCCCCCCCGTCCTTCGTGTGCCCAACGTGTGCTCAGGCCTTCGACACTGAGGTCGGTCTTCGCACCCACCAGGCCCGCAAGCATCCAGGCTCGGTCATCAGATATGTCCCTCGAGGCTTCTCCCACACCCTCTCTGTAGGAGGGCTCCCCAAGTGTGCGGCCTGCAACAGGCAATTCCCTCAGATGAAGGGCTTAAAGGACCACTTGCTATCAGGTGCCTGCTCGGAGCCAGCTAGGCTACAGGAGCTGGATGACGCGGCGCACCCTCCCTTGGATTCGCAGCATCAGCCCAGATTGCATCCCAGGCAGCAGCGCTTGCATGACACTCTGACAACACACACGGCTGTGGAGCTCGGACGATCTGATGAGTCTCAGGACCTTATGTCACATTGCTTGCTGTGTGGGTTCTGGACCCCGGACAATACCAAGCTCAAGTCTCACATCCGGCAGGCCCACAAACCTGAATGGGCGGCTCATGGCGCTACAGCTGCAACTCAGAGCAGCAAATCAGGCCTGACCCTTGTCAAGGGCATGCCTTGCCCGTGCTGCCGCAAGCCTGTTACGGATAAGAGGCAGCATCCGGCACAATGTCCGATCCTTTTTCAGATTCTGTTTTATGACTTGGTTCATGCACTTTCCCGCTGCCAGGGCGGACCGTTACGCAGGTACATGCCAGCGGTTGGCACGACACAAGGCAACGCACCCACACGGGACGATACCACCGCTGTTGGAGCAACGCCCCAGACTCGCCAGGCAACGCCTGCAGGCCCCCTGCCACCGAAGTCAGGGACAGTAGAATCAAAGGACGGCGCGCTCGCTGCTCCTCGCTCGCTGCGCAACATCTCCAACTACTGCTATGTTAACTCAACGCTTTCGGCCCTGGTGCCGACGTGCATCTTGCTGGAGCACGGAGGGGCAAGCACCTCCCTCCATCAGGAAGTGGCTGATTCTGTCCTGGTTCCCCTTTCACCCTGACTGCCTCTTTCACGCTTCGCCATCTTACTCCCGCTTGGCGCTATGATGGCCAACAACAAGATGCTTCGGAGTTTCTAGTGGCCTTATTTGCAGGCATTACCGCCTTTCCGATTGCACGACCCTGGGAAGTCAGGGATGTAAACACTACTGAGGTCACCGATGCGGGAGGTCCGCTCGCTTTGCTGCCAGCTCCAACGACAGGTGGATCCCATGCACTTCAGGAGCTGCTCTCTCGGTGGTCTGGCCAGCCGGTGCACACCGCCTTTCGAGGGCAGCAACGACTGGTGGTTCTCACAGTGGCGCGATTTGTTGAAGGCCGCAAGCTCAGCTATGCTGTCACTGGTCTGCACCACCCCCTTCAGCTCTCGCAGTGGGCCCCGACGGGCTCCGTACAACTAGAGAAAGGATGGGTTCAGTCCTGTATCTTCCACATAGGTGACACCCCGCACAGTGGACATTATCGCTCCCTCTGGAGGAGCAACCCCGATCAACCTTGGCTCAGCACGGACGATGGTCGTCCGTCGGTTCAGGCCTCAGATTCAGATCTCAGGCAGGCACGCCACGGCTGCTATGTGCTGTTCGTGCGACTTGGTTCAATACCGCACACAGCGGAGGCTGGCCCTATGCCAGTCCAAGTTTCAGATGATTAAGCTGAGGGTTCCCCTGAGGCCAGGGGCCCCTACTTCCCCTTGCAGGAAGGGGGCGACCTACTGGCTCTGTGGGACCGACCTGCCTACACGGCAGGGAGCAGGAACGCTGTTGTTCAGTTTTGCTGCTCAAGTCGTACAGCTGACGTAGCTCCACTACTCAGCGTTTGTGTGCAATAGCGGCCTATACCTGTCATGCTAGTCGGGCAACGCTCGCTGCTTTCCCAGAAAGGCAACGCCTGTCAGCAACACAGCTGACCAATGGCTGAAATCGGCTTTACAAACCCCCATTCTCGGCTCGAGAAGGGGGGTTTGTCCGAGGCCTAAAAATCAAGGTTTTGCAACCCCCCATTCTCGGCTCGAGAATGGGGGGTTGTCCGAGGCCCCCAAGCCATTGCCGGCAAGCCTGGCCTCTGGAGGGGAGTACGCCTCTTACGAATAAGGTTAGCCTTATTAGGCACAGTGTGCTTACCGCCAGGGTGTGCCACATCGTTCACCGATGCAATCTGCTTGCCCACAAAAGCGGAGCGGCCTCAGATAACAGCACTAGCAGCCGTTCCACATGCTCATCACCTTTGCGACCTTACGGCCCATCGCCTTTGATTGAGAGTGACCATGAGTGGGACGCCACGCAACAGGCACTCTGAGTGACGGTCCCGAGGGGGTACGGCTCATCAATCATCGGTCCGTGGACATGGGACGCCATAGTCCACACTGAGGGTGACGGAGGGTTTCTCACCCACGCCTGAGACGCATGAACCGGCTTTTGAGGTAGCTTGTAGGGTAGCTCTCTTCACGGTAGCCTGTTTCAGCGCTTTCAGGCCCAGGCCCTTAGCATTCCCGGAGGAGCCTTTAACTCAAATAAAAAAGGTGAATGGGTATCGTTTTAGAGAAAAGCACATTTTCACAAAACCATCGGGAGAAGGTAGGTAGGCATCTTTAGATTTCCATATGGAAAAACAAGAGTTCATATGTTCTTGCATAGGTGCTCGTGACAACTCCTGAAATAAAGCTTGTGGATTACGACGACGGGGCTGGCCAAGTCGCTTTGGGAATTCGCTTCAGCCTATGGATTTGCAATCTGCCTTATATCTGCACTGATCCTTTGACAGTTGTCGTCTTTTGGACGCTTCGTGACACAGAAGTTAGTGAGACAGAGGTCTTGGGTTTGTCACGACATCATCCCGGATCCGGGATTCTTGAACCAGCTTGAGCCATCTCTTAAGGTTCGGGGCTTAGGGCCTGGATTATATGGTTGGGACATGGGTTACGCCTTTGAAGCTGCAGGTTTTTGTGGGTTCAGGCCTTGAGAGTCTGTTGTTAGACGGGTCTGTTCATAATTTAACAGCTTGGGCTTTGGCGCGCGTTTCGGTTCGGGGCTTTGGGCTCAGGGTTTAACGGTTTACGGCGGGTTCAGGGTTCAGGGTTTCGGATGAGAATGGTGCCGGGCTTGGGGTACACTTCGGGCGTTGGGTTCTTGCACGGCTTGGGATTAAGAGTTTAGGCCTCAGGGTTCAGGGCAGGGCAATCTGTTTCGATCCTTTGGCCTGGGATTTAGCAGGCTTTAATCGGAGCGTTGTGATCTCAGGATTAATGCTTTAAAATTCCCAGATCGCTCAGAGACAGAATTCCACCTTTAGTTCCCAGGCCCTCAAAGCCTAAAACCCTAGACCCTTTCCTTTCCCCCAACACGATTTTCCATCACTCGGATCTGTCAAAGCTCGAGAACCAGTGCGGAATTGCAGCTGTCAGGTATCTCTTAATAGCTTGTCGATGCACTGTAGCCGCGTGACACCCAGATGCCTAGGATCTCATCGATTGCTCACAGGATTCTTTGACACATGTTCTATACATACATAAATAAAAGTATTTACACACAGACGGACATGCTGATGTTCATGGTGCTCGTGATGCAGCCACAAGCTAGGATGGAAATGAACATAGGTACAGCCAAGAGTCTATGGAGCACAGTCTCCTCACATAGTCTTCGTCGCCAAAACAGGAATTCAGGCGCGGGTTCAGCGGAAGCTCGGCCAGATTGGCAAACATGTGCCACCAGGTATGAAGCCTGGATACACAAGCACAATGGGAGCTACCAAAAAATGTAGCCACAAGTGAATCAGAAAGTCACAATCGTGCAGCAAAGTGTCTTCGGGCGAATCTTGTAGCGGCTGTTGCTTGCCGAAAAAGCATCATGGCTCAGCCACAGATATCCCAGAAGAAACTGCCGGGCCAGCTTTTTCGCCTTGTCCACTGCAGCTAATGGCATGACATACAGGTGCTCCTCCATCAGCAGTATCATTTTGGCCAAAGCTCTCATCGTCCTAGGATCGGGAATTAGGCAGGTCTTAAATTTGTGAATTCAGGGCACAAGAGCGGCTGCGTGTTTTATCTTGGCTTAATCGGCCCTCGAAAGCTAGAGTCAGGCATCATCTTCAGGACCCGAGCTTTGTCAGTGTCGGCCCAGCTTGACACTGCCACTGGAACGACTTCAGCCTTCGCTAGTAGAGTCAGTCGGGTTGCAAATATCTATGATGAGACTGTAGGGTTAAATTAAATTCCTAACCAAAACAAAATGTACGAAACCTGATGCTGCACTTCTTCAGATCCCAAGGGCAAGCCATAAGCAAACAAGCTTAATGTCAGCACCCTTGGCATTCAGTGTGGCGTATTTCTCATCAGCATTCAATATGAAGTCGTCGCAAGCGAGTTCAGCACCATTAGCTTTCGCCCACAGACAACACAGGTCATGAGCCTTGATCAAGCCCCCCCGATCGGGGAAGATATCAAGCATCACCGATGCTACCAGGTCCGGGGCGAAGCCCCTGTAGCACACATGAAGCGTATCATAGTGGATGAGCTTGTTGTGAAAGCCGGTGATGTTGCAAATCTCGGGTAAGGAACCCCCATGGGCTTTCAGCAGTTCCTGCAAGAAGTCCTCGGCTGGGCTTGCTAGCTACATGGATCAAAGGATTTCTTTAAAAGCCTTATAAGCACCCCATCCTAGAAATTCCGAATGTCGATACATACAAACTTGTACTTCATAAGGCTAGACTCATCTTTGCTTTCCAATCCGCAAAGCTCCCAGGGCGAATCTCCAAAGCAGTTCATGTAATGTCCAGACCCAGGGGATAGAAAGGTTTGTCCATCTACTGGATCGACAGTGGAGGCAAACCTCAGATGGAGTTCAGAATTGGGGCAGCTAGACTGACGACTGGCTCAGCTGATGCGTCTTGCCATGTCACTGGCATTGCATACACATCCTGCAGACAAGCTCATGGCAGAAGGTAGAGTCACACATGAAGATCAAGTTTTCGAAAACATGCGCACAACTAGTATGGGCTCCTGTTGCCATTGGCCTCGCCGTTGCCCTTCCAATGTCGCGGACTTAGCAAGCTGGCATCGGGTTGTCAATGGAAGAAACTCAAGCAAGCTGATGTAGGGAGCTGGCAATTGCAGCATTTGCTGAAACCATTTTTGATCGCCCGCCAGACCAAAGAAGCAAAGCCTTCGGCCGCAAACTCCACCATAATCAAATGTCCTGGGAAACATCTGTAGATGCTAGGTGAAGACTCATGCATGCAACATACAGGAGTCTATTGAAGCCTGGGGGCAATTTCTCCAAGTCTGCATTGATGTGTCTAAACAGCACATCCAAAGTGCACTCATGGTGGACACCGATCCGATTCTTTTGCATCGCCCTCGTGAGGACAGTTTGTCCTGTTAAGCATGCGATGCAAAGACGTGTCTTCAGTGTGTCCTCAGTTGTTTACAAATTGGCATTTACACACTGAAGAGCAGCTAAGGCATGTCACATCCACTAGTAGTTAAGTTGCAGACAAGACTCACCAGAATGGGAGAATGGAAACGACATATTGATAACCAAGACATTCTTGTACTTCTGCCCAGGGCCCTCATCTCCATGGAACCGCGCTGGCAGATCAGAAGGCCCTGCGCACAGAAACGAATAAGCTATGGTTTAGGAGAATAGGGTTTGGGTGGATTTGGGTGGTTTTGGGTTTCACAAAAAATCGCTAAGATATGGCTTAGGATTTTAGGGTTTTGGGGGTTTGGGGTTTCAAGAATAAGCCTCCTGTGTAGCCAATGCCAGCACCTTGCAGAGTAGAGCTCAGCCTGAGCTGGTTGGTTGCACTAGCTTGCCGCCCCTGGAAACCTATTTATATAGCCTATTTCTAAGATTCCAAATTCAAGTAACAGTTGGCTCTCTTCCTGTGTAGAGTTGCCAAAGCAGATGGCTTTCAAGATCCACGGCCGCTTCTGCAACCATGACATATAAGAGCTTGGAAGCACGATGCCTTGGATTGATCCCGAGTCTGAGATCAGTAGGGGCTCCTGGTTTCAGGGTTTAAATAAACACATTCTGGAGCTCGGCGAAGATTCTGCATGGCTTCACATCCACTGTCTTCTTCCTTTTTGAAGTCACCAAAGGTAGCATGACGGTTGACACCTTCGGAATAGATCTCGAGAAGAATTGGTGAAAGCGTTTCTCTGTCTTGCGGCCACCAAGTGTCCTCGTCACCCAGCTCATCTGGTTTCCACTTTCTTGTTCAGCAGCATTGCAGAGTTCAGCAATATAATTGCAATCAGCATTCCTGTGGTGGCCTTGGGCCCAGAGAGGGCTGTGGTGCCCTTGGGTAAGCAAGAGAGGGCCGTGGTGCCCTTGGGCCCAGAGAGGGTTGTGGTGCCCTTGGGTGAGGAAGCCCAGAGAGGGCTGTGGTTTCAAGAGTACGTGTTGCCTCTGTGTCTTTTCAGGGTGCCGTCATAACCAGCCCTATCGCAGGAAGCGAGATTCGCCGAAGCTTCGGCAATTGAAACAACGACTGGCTGCCAAACTGGCTACGAAATCTAGTGCTGCTGGAGAACCGCAAGATCTACGTGTGCCTGGGCAGTTTGGGCTTCCTTACCGGTTGCAGAGTCTGGCTGATGCATCTTTAGCCCGCACGGCTGTTGGATCCTTAAAAAAGCAGGTTTTCGCTCCTCGGCTGATTCTTCGCTTCCTTGGCTTCCAGACGAAGGCCTGCGTGGGAGCATTCACAGTAAGCTAAGCAACGAGCAAAAGAGAGGGAAAACAAACAGACATGCAGAAATGCAAGGGACAGTGAGCGAAGGAGGCAGCGTGAGCAACAGAAACGACCTGAGAGGAATTAAATGGGTGATCCTTCATACTTGTTTGTTTTTTTCTGCATCCAACAGGAGTCGGGTTGAGGGAGTTGCATCGCGCACCTGGTGGGCAACGACAGGCTTGCAGCTATTGTGTAATTACATTAATACTGCCAATCACTACAGCCTGATCGTGCCTCTACCCAGAGCTAGAGCGACTCATTGAAAAGCAGACAAGCTGAGTCAGCTGAGCTGGCAAATTTCAAAAGGCTACCCTAGTATGCCTGATACAGCCTTCTAGATGACATCTCCGCCAGCAGCTAATGCCTGGACCCAGCAAGCCAGCATAGCAAAAAACGAAAGGCCCTGTACCAACACGAGTGCCCTGCAGAGTATTGTATATGTAGTTTTCAATATACAAGATCACTGGAGTCGTAGATAGTCTAAAGCTTCTAACAACAGCTAGCTGTTAAGGATGGCAATGCTCGTGGTACTCACGGACTGGCCATGCAACTAAAACATCGGTTCCTGAAAACCCTTGTAGCTGAATAAACCCTTTCTTGTCCCCAGCTCTTGCAGCCAGTACCGGAAAAGTGCAAATTGCGCTGGTGGGCGCTTGCTGCCACAGACATGTATCTGCTTACTACATCATAGCACCTCGAGAACAGCAACTGCCGCTTACCCAGCTGCCACGATCAGCCACTAGCCTATGGAACCATAGAAACCTGGAAAGCATAGCTAGCGTACACTTTAGCCAGCACATGGCCACTACTTAAAGGTACATGATGTACTTTGATCCCATAAGCTTTGGCTTTTCTCAGAATCAGATGCATCAAGCGCGTTTGTCCTTAAGGGCATGCACCCTCGCCACACCCACTGCGAAGTCCTGCCAAAAGTTCGATAAAACAGGATTTGTGGTGTCATTAGAGTACTATATATGCTTCACTCACCATAGTCCCTGACTCAGGCTTAGGATTAGGGATACGGGTTAAGGTTTAAGGGATAATGGTTGAGGATTCTTATGCTCGTCGCGGAATTCCCGTAGCATCGTTCAAGCCCAAGCTTAGGCACACAGTTCCCAGCAACACATGTATCCTGTTGTGTCGTGTGTCGATCTGTCCTCCTTGGAGACAAACAGCAGATAAGCCTTTGCCACTTCCTGCGACGGTTTAGTGTCTAGGGTTAGGGGTTTAAAGGGAGAGGGAGAGGGAGAGAGAGAGAGAGAGAGAGAGAGAGAGAGAGAGAGAGAGAGAGAGAGAGAGAGAGAGAGAGAGAGAGAGATGGTGAGCAAGGCAAAGGGTTTGAAGCTTGCATGGCCTTGACTTTTTCCTGCCATTCAGCTTCATCGACTGTATCATCCAGCATCTTCAGATCCTGCAACAGTTTTTTTGGAGAACTTCATATTGTAACGATAAAGATCATAAGTACCTTGTACTTCGCTTCCAGGGCATCCTTCATGGTCTTTAGCGAAACCAACACCCCCTCGGCTTCATCCAGGCCCTGCAGCTGGAGCTGGAGCCGAGCACAGGCACCAACCTTTCAGGGAGAAGTTTATCCAATATCGTACGATTATTACTAGGGCTTTAAAGTTCCATCCATCCCACATAACAAAACACCTTACACTTATCATAATCAATGCCCTACATAAACCCCCAATACCCTAATTCAAATTGAAATCGTTTTCGTACCCCAAAAGATTGGCACCTTTCCGAGGACCTCCTTCTCCATCGATTTTTTCGTATCCTGGCGGTTGAACCGTGGTAGTGCTTCACGTAGATCGGATGCCCGGCACTTTGAAAGCTCAAAAATCCCGGGCTTCATGGCCGGCGGCCCCTTCGCTTTTGCTTTCGCCTTTGCCCCACCCTTCGCAGCCGCCGCCTTCCCAACAGCCTTCGGTTCCGGAGTGGGGCCTGCAGGTCAGGGCTGTCGGGTTTAAGGTTTGGGGCTTTGGGGTTTAAGAGCAGTGTGATAGCCAGCCTCCAGCAGCATTCTCCAGAGCCACTTTTGCCGAAGGCTCCGGAGTGGGCAGCGACGAAGACCTGGATCAGTGGCCGCCCCAAGTGTAATCAGGATTTGGGGTACAGGGTTTCATATTCGGCATTTCGGTTTAAGGGTTTAGGGTAGTGGTTAAGAGTTCGGCATTTGGTTTAAGGGTTCTAGTACTCATTAGGTTGCAGCGGAATGCAACCTAGTATGCAATCACCGAGGATGCAAGTTTCAGGGCTTAAGGTTTATATAGGGGTTTAGGGCTAGGGCTTTGCAGGGAGTTGCGATATGGCGTGTTTAGATTTTTGTTCTTGGGGGTACAAGTTGCTTAGAGTGGCAAAGATCGAAACACATTATTTCTCGAACATCTACTTTGCAGCTAGGGTGCATTTCTTGAAAGAGCTGTTTCGCAAGTGGCCGTTGATCCTGAGCCAGCGAGCGGACATTCGCCTCGATCTCTCGGCGCTTCTCAAAAAGCTCCGTCTCAGACATCTCAGTAAAGATGTTGAAGAGCTTGTGCCCAGATCCCACGGGGAAGTTCGGATCATCTCTGAAACCTTAGAAAGAAATTAAATTCTGCTGTAGTCTCAACATCGAATAGGAGCTTTCAGACAGCAATACACTGAGATACCTGCGGCCTTCCTGCACAGCAAAGTGGATCGCCATCCTCGCTTTCTCTTGATTCGGGGCGTAGTGGGCATAAACCTGCTCTTCAGTCAATGCCTCCTTCTTCTTCTTCTTCTCTTGCCTTAGTTCTATAGAATCACCGAATGACTTAGGGACCCTGAATTGGCAAACTGCATGAAGAATTGAGGCAACTTAGAACTAGGCTCCGTCATGATGTCTTTCATGATGAAACTGACGGTGGTCTTGGTAACATCGCATCCATTCTGGAAGAACAGCTGCACAATGTTCTTGCGGCTTTCACCACCGTTTCGCCACTGCTCGAGAATCTCAAAGGTGCATTTGTGTGGATTTGTCGTCAAACTATCCTCAACTTGAGGCCCTGAGAAGATCTGGCAAGTAGCTGATAATTTGCATATGAATAGACGTCTCGGAATTACCACTCATGATATCTTTTGTAGTTTTAGTTTACTGCAGTCTAGTGGCTTGTTGGAGTAGAAAGATGTCAGCTTTGCAGTCCAGTGCTTCCAGGCTCCAAGATAAGTGTTGATCGAACATTGGCCACGCAGCCGGACTATCTGAACCCACCTGGGGTGTGAGCTCATCATACTCGAAGCTGGCTGCTCCAAGATGTAGTTGCCGCCCATCCACAGCCCCAACATCAGACACATCATTGTCCTGTTAGCTTACAAGGGCGCAGATCCAGGGAACCCAAAATTCAGCACATGCCCGAGGTCCTTGAAACCATTTTGTTGGCCTGGGTGATGTTGATGTTGCTGACATCTCCAAGGGGGCACGTCAAACCTGCAGAGATGGATGGTTTCTCAGTCGAGCTAGATGCACTAGTGATATATGCAGCAATTAGGCTCCCCACTCCGTTTATTGATTGCTCGATTGATCCATACCCAGCTGCTGCACGCAGGCGAAGCCATGATGAACCTTCAGGCAAGGGCCCCGGAACATGATAGTATTGTAAAATTCAGCACTTCAGTGGCCTGGCACCTTTCGGATCCAAGCACAGGATCGAATGGATCATGAGCCTAGGGTTGCAGGATCTTGATTGAACAGTTGGTCTTGGTGCAAGCCGTCTGTTAGAGCCGAGTCACGCAAAGCCTGCTGCATGAAATATGTTCATAGATGGATTCAATTCCAGGTCATGTGAGGCCACACGATACCCGCGGCTTGTGAGGCCAGCCTCGATCGGTGTATTTCGGAACTTGTTGGATGGAGCTGGGGGTCTAGTAGTGGCTCTGCTTAAGGCTCTGGCAGTCACAGCACCAGCACCCGAAAAGAGATCGACACAATCGTATCGTGCCGAAACTGGTACTTCGGAGTTCCAAAGCCGAGCTGCAAAAGCATAGCAGATCCAGTGGGAGCCAGCAAAATAAAATGATTTCTGGACAAGCAGCAGTAGGAGGCAAACTAGGATGAGCATCTTCGGAACACTCGCTTGCAGCATAGATTCCACCAGGGCTTTATAAGCCATTGCCGTAGGGCACCTTAGTCAAGACACCCAATGAGATACTGCCACATCAGGCTTCAATGGTCTAATATCAAACCAAAGCGCAGACTCAGGAACAGCAGCCAGGAGTAGCTCGCCATTGCCATACGGACACAGACCAAAACTCACACACCCCGCACATGCACACACACCCTGACTGTCACAGTCACAACATATTGTGAAGCATGAGCTGCACATCGAGTCGCATGGATCGGCCCTCAAATGCCCAGTTCGCCTAGGATGACTAGACCTTCGATCGGTAGAAGAAGCTACATACACAAAAGACACAGTGCTGATCCCTCAAGCTTCAATCGGCCTTTGACCCCCATCGATGTCACAGCACTGCATGCACTTCTGCAGGGAGGGGGGCGGACCTGTTGCATTGCACTCCTCGCCCTCGCAGGCAGCGTGCGATCGCTTCCGTGAAGAGCTCGACGAAGACTTCTCACCTGGCCATTGCAGTATTCACTACCCTGTGAACCAAAGACCATATTGCAAAAGTAGCTTAAGCCGGCACAACTTCGCACATCAGAAGAAACTTTTGGTCTCACACGCTTTGCCCAAGCTTCAGATTTCAGAGTCTGGTGTGATCTCATCCGACAGGCCTAAGATTGCACAACGACACACCAATCCCGATCTGTGCCTGGTCAGAAGCCAAAACCATTGCCGACGAGTCTCTGCTTCATAGAAGTGGAGTCTGTAGCGTTTGCGGAATCATCTGACCTGCACAGATCGACGGCGATGATCTAGATTTAGTAAGCTTTGAGCTAGCAGGTGATCGAAGATCGAAAAGTGATTGGCTCACCCAGAAACCCAGATATCCTACTACCCAGCCCTAAAACCCTACAATCTATAGTTAAGCCCCATAGAACAATAATCCCGAACAAGGTATAGTCTCATATCTGGGGATTCACATCCCAGGCCTGGGACATTACCTTAAACCCTGAACCCACTAAGCCTAAGGCATCCCGTGCTCTTGCAAGGCACGAAGCCCGTTATTTTCTATATCAAGCAAATATACACTAGGGGTTTAAGGCTCAAGGGTTCAAAGCGAAACCAAGGGCTCAATTCTAAGCCTCAGCAACATATCTGAAGACTAGGGACAATCCTGAAGCACAAGCCCTCAACCCTAAACCCTAACTTTTCAAGTTTGGCTCAAACACGGCTCAAGCAGGCCTTCTGCGTGGCATATGCAACTGCCAGCTCGTGTGCAGCCATATCGATCTCATCTTTTGCTGTCAGATCGAGGAAGCCTTCGGCACTTAAGTAGGACATGAAGGCCCTTTGCGCATTGCCGCCGGTAGCAAGGCCCCGGTTGCGAAGTTCCTCAGCCACATGCCTCAGCTATATGCAGCAAGAAAGTAGACACAGCATCTACCCCAGCCAAAACCCGCACACACACACACACACAATACCACATTAATTCGGAATAACATCTCAGTGCTGACAACAGGTGCATATCAAAGGCTTCGATAGCAGCTTCAAATCTCCAGGAGTGAGGGGGCCCATTCGGAACATAACGGCCAGCGAAACTCTTGCGATCCCCAGCCACATCCTTAGGAACCGCAGCTTCATCCCCACCATCCCTCGGATCCGCAGCTGCCTCAACCTCGGTCGGATCCACAGCAGCTGGAGTCGCTGCCTTTTTTGGCGACTGCGTCGGCTTTATCTTTTTTGGGGCCGCCGTCGGCTTCACCCTTGCCCTGGGTTTCGTCTTCGTCCTTGGCTTCATCACTTTCCTAGCCTTCTCCTTTGCCTTAGCTTCAGATCGAAGTACATAGGTCAGAATACCGCAGGACCCACATATACTCAAGCAATAAATCTGAAAAGGTTCTGCAGGCTCTGCAGATGGGTGGACGAAGGCCCGGTCTCCACACACCATTGCAAAAGTGGCCTCCTGTTCTTCCCCGTCAGAGTCGTCCACTTCGATGGGGTCCTGTTTATTTTCAGTATACATGAATATGTATATGTGCTTATGCATGTATTATATGTGCATATAGAAACGCATTTGGCTGGCATGTTAAGACCGAGACCTCGCCAAACAGCTTCCGGTGAGCCTCCTGATACTTCTTCTGAGCAGCCTTGGCAGCTCAGACAGAATTAATTGAGGAACAAGACACATGATAACACCTGCACATGAATCGAACCCAAACATGCCTGCCGTCTAGGTGCCAGCTGTGCTGCAGTAGGCACAGCTTTCGACCTTGATGGCACAGCTGTCGGCCTTGATGGCTCATCTGTCGGCCTTGATGGCTCATCTGTCGGCCTAAATGGCTCATCTGTCGACCTTGATGGCTCATCTGTCGACCTTGATGGCTCAGCTGTCGAGCTTGATGGCTCAGCTTTCGCGCTTGATGACGGCCTGAAGCAAGTGACAAAGCAACATCCAATGGGACACTTCACAACGACTTTAAAAGTGCAAATTTGCAACCAAACCACTCACCCGCAGGAGAATCCACCATCTCCTCCAGGTCATCGATTTCCGACGAAGTAAATCGACCCAGATCACCAAATACATCCTCCATTTTTTGCTCAAGCCTCGAGCTTCAAACACATGTGTATGAATAAAGCTGAAAGCAAAGAATTTGCATGCAGCCCAAGAGGCTCTGCATGATCTTTTTTCGACTTGTTCCTACAAATGCAGGACCCCACAGATGCAGATATGGCTGTGCACACCCACAAGCAGCTGTCCTAGTCTTTGCTGGCCACTTCATCATCCTGAAATATGATGCACATCTATGAAACCTGATTGATCTTGTTCCAATTCGGCCAAGGCACTTGGATTTCAAGCGATCCATTCTTTCATGAAAAGAGCTCCTGGGCTGCCATATTGAAACAATAGATTGGAAACTGAACTCAAAATTTTCGCCTCGCCACTCAGTCTTTGCCAGCAGCCGGCGTATCCGAGCGAGGCTTCTTTTCAGGATGCTGGCGACCACTTTTCGCTCAAGCTCAGGCAAGTTGTGTAGCCCCGTTTCTGGATTCTTCGATGCCTGCTCCACCTCAGTTGCTGAGACTGTAACTCTGCGATCTAGAACTTTATATCTCATCCAGGTCACTGCCATCTCAAACACCCGCGGAGCTGGCACTTTGTCCACGACGACATAACCTAGCTGCATACGTGTCTCAGCCAACTGCACGGGAGCATAAGCAAAAGTGAACCAAAAGAAATCCCTGTAACCGAACTGCATGCCATGTGACTCAGCGAATCCATTATTGCATCTACCACAGCGAAAGCTTCGTGGATAATAAAATCTGTGCTGAGCTCGGAGTCTGGGCATTCGGCCAGAGCTTTGTGATGCCTTGGCCATAATCCCGCACGAGTCATTGAAGCAATAAAAAACTGCTACCTCTGAGGTTCAATCTGGTCAAAGGCCGCAAAACTGGCTTCAAAGCCAGCACCATCGTCATAACAACCTCACACAGCTCATCTTTCATATGGTCCAGACAATCCCTATAAGTACATCCCATTGCAAGCAAGCAGCTTCCTCCTCCGGCGATAAAGCCACTTCAGCTTCCTCCCGGCAGCACATTATTTCCAATGCCCAACAACATAAGAACTTGCCATTAGCTTCAGTCCTCTGTCTCCATAGCTCCAAACACAGCTCGAGCAGGCACTACTGGAATGCGTATATATATGGATCCATGTAATGCATCAAATGCCCTAGCTTCTCTAAAAACCGTTGGCCCTGAGCTCAGGACTCTCCTCTACTTATATAATATGTGCCCTAGGGCAACGAGGAAGGGACTGCAGCTAGATCATGCATGTGGACACCTGTCTGATCGACTTGAGCATCTGGACTGCAATTAATTTGCAGTCGTCCAGTCTGCCAGCATGCCCACAGAAGTGCAAATTCACTGTAATCATGCAGGGCCACCTGGTGCTGGAATCACCAGCTTCAAAAGCCGGTTCATCCATCGTCGGATCCATGGTCAGCTCAAGAGCTGCAAAAATCGATGCTCATGCTTCGCTACTGCCGAATGACATGTCAGACCTGCCCAGATGCTTGCTGCCGGCATGCATGCGACTTCAGAGCCACTCCGTGGCAGCTCGGACGAGCGTGTTGCCACAATCACTCATCACCAGCAGCCGTGCTTCAAGTGGTATATGTTGTTTATGTGAGCGAGATGAGATTTTTATATGGGTACATGTGTGCATATAGTATATACACAGAGAGGAAGCGACCCCTATTGGGGCACTGCGACTCTGCGATCTATAGGAGTTAGGGTTCAGGTTTTTCTCCCAATAGTTGAGCCAAACTACAGCTTAGGGCTTAGGGTTTTTTCTCGAAAGCGATTTGAGCCATGTCTATACAAATTCGCATGCATACTGCAAAAGCAAATTCGAAGCACACGACGTGCTTATTTATCCTGCCAAAGTTTTCTTTCACAGGGCGACAGACAGAGCATGAATCCATGCCAGCAAGATTTCGGTTTGAGCCAAATCGTGAACTCACATGCAATATATAGCTAGAAAGCTGTTCAAACTGTATCTGTCGATTGCAGCAAACCAGCAAGATATACCTACATCTTGCCAGAATGATGCATCTGGAGCCGAACCAAGCAGGACGAAACATCATGAGATGAACTTGCCTTGTGCTTGCTTTAAGTTTCCTTGCAAAAGGCGACAGAAAGGGCACGAACCCATGCCAGCAAGCTTTCGGTTTGAGCCATATCACGAACTCACGATATATATCGAAAGATAAAAACTTCAAACTATACCTGTCGATCGCAGAAAACTGGCAAAATGTACCTACATCTTGCCAGAATTTACGAGTTTGAGCCGAACCCCATCAGAAAAATCGTCATAAGCTGAGGTCCCCCTGTCAAAAGCGCGAATAGCTCATTTTTTGCGGCGAGCCACTTCCGAGCCATGAAGAAAGAGCGACAGTCTCCATTTAGATGCCGTTCGCACTTTTTTTCGGCGAAAGAGACCTCTCCGGGTTTCTGCTCTCAGACCTTTGTTCAGGTGCAAAGGCAGTCTCACACGCCCGCAATGAGCAGAGCCCGCTCGCTCAGCGTCCAATAATAATAGTAGTAGCAGCAGCAGCAGTAGTAGTAATAGTAGCAGCAGCAGTAGCCATAGCCCCTTAGAGTTTTTGAGGGAATGATGAGTTCACATCCAAAAACCCTGGCTTATCTCAGACTTCGCTCGACGGGCCTTGAAAGTGAGCTAAGGGGTACCAGGTACCATAATTAGGGTTTAGGGTTTAGGGTTTAGGGTTGCCGAACCTTTGATATTGGAGGAGCTAAGGAGCCAGGGATGATGATAATCCCTATTGAATAAGGAGCTAAAGAGCCCAGGGAACCCCAAAACCGCTGGTTAGTTGTAGTGCAGTCCAGAAATTCGTACATCAAAAGGTTGTTCCAGTTCAGCGGGCTCTCTAAGGGTTGCTGTGAGGTTGTGATAGGGCTTAGGGCCTTGGGTTTGTGCGTTGAAGGGTAAGTTAGGGTTTGTGGCTGAGCCCCTGCAGAGAGAAAAATCCCACATCCCGTAAATCTGATACCCGCACCCATCGCTCCGAAACCCACCGAGTCAAACCCTAAACACTTGCAACAACTAGGACCCAGAGTAGGCCCTTATTCCACTGTTTTAGGGTTTAGGTTCTCTTATAACCCCCTTTAAACCAGCAACAAGTGCACCCTTTCTATTCCTAGGCCTAAACCCTAAACCCCGAAAACACTAAATACCCCAAATCCTAAACTGCAGATCCCAAGCTCTGACTGAAGCATTTCAAACCCCGGAAGGCAGACTGGCTTCCTGCCTACGAGGTTCGGGGGCTTCGGGTCTAAGGTGTAGGGTTTTGGGTTTCGGACGACGGGTCGACACAGAGTTCGGACTTGGGTTTAGGGTTTTGGGGTTTGGGGTTCAGAGAATTCCGAGTAATGTTAGCAGTTGGGATCTATGTTGCTTGCTTCCGCCCAACTTTGTGGTGAGTGATTAGTTCCCACAGCGTGGGCCCGAAGCCATCAAATCCTCTATGTTGGAGTCCGTCACTTTTTTGAACTAGGCTCCTCAGTAGTACCCTTTAGCCCTTTATATTTTGGGGTTCCCTGACCAAAGCTGAATAGAAGGAAAAAGGGCACCCTTATGAACGGGACTCAGGAACCTGGTGAAAGTCACATTTACTTGGAGGGTCGGGGGACTTAGTAAGTAATTGTTTTGTAGAGTTATAAGTACCATAACCCCATGTAGGGTCCCTTTTAGGGTAGTTATAACTCTATAAACTGACTACTTACTACCGTAGAAGCCCATAGCCTGAATCCTGAAGAGTAATGTATAGGGAAAACCAGCACTATGTGGCCCTCGTCCGGTTTCCAACTTTATGGGTTTTGCTGTTAGTCACTCGACCCTCCAAGTAGGGAAGATCCAGGCCTACATCATGGAGCAAGGATCCTTCTTCCCTCAGCTCGCCGGCCCAAGTCTACAACGTGCTGCCTTGGGCTCAGCGCAGGGGTACGAGGGATTTTTGAATTTACAGTAAGGTTCATAGGGCTAGGGGCGGCTAGGGTTTAGTTGAGGTGTTGGGGGTTTTTGGAGTTTAGGGTTCCAGGGTTCTAGTTTCTGTGGTTTGGGGTGTGGGATCCGAGTTCTAGGATCGGAACTCGGCTTCAGAGTCTGCAACATGTGGTCCGAGCCCGGTCTGGAGCAAAGGGTGTGGCAGACCCTCAGCCTCGACAGTAGGGTTCCGTAGACAGCCTCTACATTATAAATCCTCAGCCCTAGTAGCAAGGTTTTTACAGGCTAACGCCCTGTGCATACGTGGAACCTTCGCAAGGTTCTCCAGCTGCAAGACATTGCCATGCCCTTCGTGCGGCAGGTGTACAAGTGTGAGACGCGAGGTGTCCCAGAATTGCGTGCGAGCTCTTCGGGGTCAGGGT